TTCTTACTTCTCACAGGCTATATACACTGGTGGATGATTTTTGTCTCCGTTTTTCTTCAATAAATGCACATCAATATGTAATTTTGAGCTGCTACATTATAATATTGTCTAAACAGAACAATACAAAGCTAAAATTTACAGTATGGCAGACATCTGGCCTAAATTCTAACCTCATTGCTTTAAACACTCACTTTAAACACGTATGTAAATGTATATGTTTTAAAGTGATTTGTGGTTTTGCTTTAGCACTGGAAACACTACACCATGAAACATAACAGTGTGTTCAAATACATTCTGAACCCATAAAGCAGTATTGATTTTTAAAGTGCTCAGACATTACTGTTGACCCAAACTTGGCTCTAAATTGCTCCGCTTTTCCTGTATTTTCAAACATCTGTCTTTTAAATTAATGGTCCAATTCCATGCAAAACTTCAAACTGACTTTACAATATTCTACACCAGCAATGATAAATAATTTGTTTTCTCAGTCCAGTTTCTCAAATCACAAAAACAAAAGAAATGTGGCCTGATGTTGACTGATATAAAGCCCACAGTGTTACTTGATCTAGGGCAATGTTCGATGGAGCCCTGTCCCATGAGCGCTCTGCCAGCTGGATCCGGGACGGTCCGAGAAACAGGATCCGGGTGGTCCTCACAGCAGGAGCATCTGGGTCTCATACTCCCCTGTCACACACACTGCTCCTGCTGCTGCTGCTATATTGAGTTTCATTTACTCTGTTGCTCTGAGGAACTTTTTGAACACATTTTAACTAATTACTTTTAGCTGATACTTTGCAGGAGGTGTTCTACATGTATCGCTAATGGTGAAATGTTCAGCAGTTACCGTGGTCACATAATGCACATATTAGAAAACACAAAAAAAAAGTCTCAATATAATCTGAAAATTTAAGAACACATTTTCAGAAGTCTGTAATAACTACAAGCATTAATGGTTCCGTTTAGGTGCTTGATTTTCAACAAAATGGTAAGAATGACAGTGACTAAACTAAAAACTAAACTAAAAAGCTGCTGGCTGATGTATGTTTAACAGCACGAATCATCTCACACATCACATCAGTTCTCATTAAAATCTAAAGCCGCAAATTTTTAAGATGTGCCTTTCCCCCAAATATGCATTGTTTTTTTTATATTTTTGAGTTCCTAAGATAGATATGATTTTCTATACAATTGTCTATCAGATCACACTAAAATCTAAACTTTTCCACATCTAACTGTTCTTATCAAGCTGTTAACAATGCATTATGTAACTGCTTGTCACAATATCGCTTAAAAATATCTCTCTCTTAGATTTATTAAATTACTTGTGTTTTTACTGCAGAAAAATGCCTTAAAAGTTTCCAGTCAAAGCAATTACAAAAGTTATGAGTGCCTATTTGAAACAACTTACTAACTTATTCTCTTTTATTGATTAATATTTGATGTAACTCTGCTCTTAGTTGAACTGATATTATGTTATAGTCTACTTTACCACACTCGAAACCGACTAAAGTAATTTCAGTTGCCCCCCTTTAACCTTGAATGCGCTGACAGAGGTATCTATAAGAGTCCACGAGGGTCTTGGGACCATATGATACTTTTACAAATGATCGGATTGGTGTTCACTTTCTTGTTTGTCAGCGCTTTTCTAGCCCACTTACATGGCTCCTTAATTAAACATCCTTTGTCACAACTCTTGACTTTGTCTCAAGTGACCTCTGTCTGCCTTGCATTTAAAACAGAGGATTACACAGCCTAATCAGGAATGCAAAGAATTAATAGACCATAATTACTTAATTATGTAATGAATTTCAAAAATGTGTTGACCTTTTTGATAGTGAGTTTAATAATAGATTATTTTCTGGAGAGTAAAATCTCTCCATCAATCTACGTCAATCTGGAGAAAAGGCAAGGGGGAAATCCAGTTGGTTAAAGTTGCACTATGTAACTTTTCCTGCTTGTCTCCATGGAAATGCTTTACAGTTTAATATTGATGTTCATAGACACAAGCAGGCAACACCACCAGACAGGTACAGCTCTGATCTTTGGAGAGGCAAGCACACTCACAGTAAGAATGCATGTTTTTTGGACATCGCCGTAGCATGATTGAATGTTTTATTGTCATGTTTTTATAAGTCCAATTTTCTATTTTACTTCAAGGTTTTAAGACAACTTTCACCTTTGCCCTTTCCCGCAGCCCCCTAAATCCCCCCTCTGCAGCGGCTCTGTCTTGGCTTGATTGCCTCTTGATATCATGTTTCCGCGACACTCCTGTCCTCATCTCATCCACTCTTGGGTCGTGTGCCAAAGTGAGCTCCATCTGCTGCTTCCTCTGGCACTGCCACACTGAAGATTATCCTCCATAACTCGGCACGCAACTCAAAGCAACTCCCCCTCTGCCCAAAAAACAAAAGACAAAACAGATCGGTCGGGGCACTGTCTGTGACCTGAGCCAGGGTCAGACAGAGACCAGAAGCGACTCAGGACTGCTGTCTGCACGGTTATGTAATAGCCAAAAGTGAGAGCGAGGAGAGCTTTATGTGGTTGAAAAATGAGTAGGAGCACCAGCTTAATGGGTTGTGGCCTTATTCCATAATTTGCCATAAAGTGCAATTTATGTTCCAGTGTTTCCCAACCGTTTCTCTCAGCTATTTACAGGCTATTTACCTAAACATTCTTCATATGGGTTTACGTAAATAGCCTGTTAGTGATGAAAAATGTACATACATACATACATACATTCTATATACATACGTACATACATACATAATATATACATACATACATACATACATGCATGCATACAAACATACATACATACATACATTGCATTAAGATCCCAAGATTATCAATCTATTTTTCCAATCCAAACCAGCAATCTTTATCCTGAGTCATCAGCCGGTGTCACTTCATGGAAACCGCAGCATTACGATTTTTTCTCTCAACGGTAGGCGGATACTTTTTGCTTTTAACCAATCACTGCTATTTGGCCGTGATGTATGTAATGCGCCGCTAACTGGGCTAAATGGTATATTAAGCTTTTGCCAAATCCTGTAGGAAGAAGGGCAATAACGTCTTTCCCCTTGATAAAATTCACCAAACATTCTTTGTACCGGCTTTAAATCCTCGATCTTGGGAATCGTTGCCAACACAGAATGTATGGCTTTGTCTACATCCATCCTGACCGCTTTGTTTAAGTTTGTGCTGTACCACAAAAAGGGACCCAGTCATGGCTTCACAGCTCTTCGCTGATTAGCCAGTGTTACAACTTCTGGGGTCTTTGCAAACTGTCTAGTGTATACCAATTCCTGACGTAGTCGCTGAAGAGAAATGAAATTGAGCGGAGGCACTAGGTGGCCCCGGCCTGGCTAGCAATCTTTAGTTATTTGAATGAAATTGATTTGACTGTTGTAAGGTACATTTTATTGTCCCCGTAGCAAAACTTGTCCTCGGCATGTCACCCATTCTTCAATGCAACTAGGGCACATCATCAGGAGCAGTGGGTGCACAGTGCAGCACCCAGGGAATGATGGGAGAAAGTGGAGTGCCCGAAGGAAACCCACCCAGACACAGGGAAACATGCAAACTCACACAGAAAGGCTGGACAGCCAGGAGGCAGACCCCCACCAAAAGTTACATTGTGCAACTTTGTGTGGAATAAACTTCTAAGTCCCGAACAGGTGAGTCTAATGAAAAAAATAAATAGCCCTACTACCCACAATGCATTGCACCAGCCCCTTGAGATGTTGATGGATTGGACCACACTCTGGCAGCTGAACTGGAGGTTTACAAAAAAGGTAACAAACACATTTAAATGCTTTTCCCTCTTATTCCCTAAATTGCTGTATGATTAATTATTCAGGATAGTCTGCTGTCGTTCCCGTGGGCAACATAACATCTGTCATTTATTTAAAGAACAACAAACTCGCAGGGAATCAAGTCACTAACGCATTATGGCTTCATGTTTCATCTGGAAGTCTTGGCACACCTGCTGTTTACAAAATAGCGGATGAAATCGTCTTAGAGAAAAATGTTATTATCTGGTGCGTCTCCTATGGGAGGCTCCACGGTCCAGAGCAAAGCTTTGTTTCAGGATAAGATGAAGAAAAGCACTGAACAGAACAAAGGAAGACCACTGTCAGGAATGTAATGTGGAGGTTTTGGTAAATTACTCAGTTATTTAAATGGGAAAAGCCATTAAGTGCTGTATGTTTATTTATTTAACACAGATGATATCTTGGCATCTCCTCTTGTTATCACATGTTTTTCTTGAAGATATGTATTTTTAATAGATCTCCCACCAGCAAGTTCATTCTATATTTTCATTTAGAGGATAAACTTGTTACTTAACCTGCAATATTCCTAGAATGCAAGTGTTTCAGTGCTTAAAAACGCCATGAAAACCATGCATTCTTAGTATGAATGGAACCTTTCTCCATATTTGACCAATGACTTAGTAGCCCAGTCACATCACCTGCTTATCCCCATGGAGATAGAAAAGTTACAGAGTGCGCCTTTAGTATGAATTGTTACTAATTTTTATTCAGAAATGATAAATAAACCCACCAGTATACTTTCTATTACATCACATTTTGTAATGTTTTACATTGAATTTGTATGATATATCTTCCCATATCGCCAGACAATAAGGTATAAATAATATTAGAAAAGCAACATTTAAATCAACTGTGGGCTATACTTAATAAAATGTAATGCTATAACACTAATAAAAGTCTAGATTTATTCATTTTTTCCTCCTTAACTATAGTGATGTAGTGCTGTGTGTGTGTTCACCTGATGGACCAAACAGCCAAGCACAGGCGGCTTTCAGACTCATGTAAAAATACCAGTGCCCTTAAGACTTTTATGATGTTGTTGCTCCGTCTGGCAGCCAAGGCCAAGGTCTTTCAGTGGGTTTTACAACTACAGGAGACACTTCACACCACAGCGCCATAGTCTCAAATGACACTCAGACAAGCATTTAATTTTACAACTACATTTATTAAAAAACAAAACAAAAATCGACCGAAACAAAAACAAAGCAACAGGCGTCCCATTGGGGATGAGACTGTTTTACAAAGAGACATTTTCAAAGCAAAACAAACCAGCGAACTGTCATCTAGCAGCATCCAAATGTTGGAATCTCCGAAATCGTCCTCATTTATATATTTAAATATATATGTATTTTTTTGCCCTGGCAAGCTACACACTTACTTTACAACATACACAGAGCTCTTATCTCTCCTTAGTGCAGAAAAGAAACAATAACCCTTAATAAAATAAACAACTTTTAGGTTAAATAAGCTTAAATAATAGTGTTAAATACAAGACACTTCTGTGGCAGATATGTACACGAATAAACACATTTGGCATTGTAGTTGTGGTTCACTGGCGCTTGCTCTAAAATGGTCTAAAAACACTAAAAACATCAACATTTCACAGCCATACAATTACATACACACACCATTCATCCACAAAATGTATATCAGTGAGCCACAGACAAGGCATGTGTTTAACAAGAGACCCAAAGCAAAGAAACAATTCATTTACAACCAAGAGTTTTAGGCACAGTCTCTTCTGTTTAGTAAATACACATCCCATTCGACTGCTTTGTGCTAGCGTATCATCTTTTCCAAAAATCCACAGTTTTGTTACTACCACTTTTGTTATTGCTAGGACATCGTGACAGTGAATGGAAACTACAGACAAAATAATCACGCTTGTGTTGAGAAGGGGAAAGAAAGCACCTTCGAAAAAACGATTCAAAACATTTCACCGACCCTTGCGCTCACAACACTGAGGAGACATGGAATAAGGAGGAACAAAAATGGTCCAAATATCCATAAACATCAAAATCCAAAAATAGGTCTTAGTTGTAGCTACATTCATGTTTCAATCCACAGTACTTTTCTAGACTCCTCTTGGTAAGTACCACTACTTCTTATCCAATACATTCGTCCAATTTCCCATTTTTTAGTCCACTTTCTTGCTCCTTGCTTGGGACAGTGTGCGCAGTATGATACAGTAATTGAATGTACAGTACAGTAGACCGACGTGACAACAGCAAGTAGGTAGATTCTTCTATATGTAAATGACTAAATTAGCTTTACATTCCACTAGAGATGCCAAGGAAAGGATCCAGGGGCGTTTTCAAGTCCTTATAAGCGCTTTCGAAAAGGTTGCCATGGTAAAGAAGAAGATAAATCCAGACAGTTCAAGTCTTCACCAATCGGCGGCTAAGCTACAGTCTCCAAACGGGCTAGTAGTTAGTCAGGTGTTTGAATTTGTTTATAGGTGGTAAAGTGGTGGTGTTTTGTTCATGGTTTCTTATCGATGGAGTGAAAGAACCACTCGGTGAACTTCCTGAGCTGAGCCGCCGCGGTCTGGCTCTCTTCCTGCAGGCGCATGTTGTCCTGTCTCAGATGTTGGACTTCCTCTTGTAGCATGGCCTTGTCCTCTTTCTCCTAAAAAGAAAATAAAACAATACACAATCAGTCAAACGATCACACAATAAATTCATGTGTTTATAATTAAAGGTACATTATGAGGATTCGTCACTTGCTTTGGATATCTCATTGCTCTGCCTGGAATGTTCCACAGTATGACATAAAACAGCTCAGCTTTGCATTTATTCAATCACAGGTGGTTTTATGATTCAAAAATCTTGAAAAACAGGCATTCTGACTGTGAGTGGAGTTGCCTCGCCACAGATCTGACCTGTAACTTGGTCTGGTTTGGTCTCCGTGAAGACAGAAAGGTTTAATACCATACTGTGAAACTTTCCAGACAAAGCAATAAAATCTCCATAGAGAAAAGCATCTGATGGACTCTCCACCATAAAAGTTACATAATGCACCTTTAAAGGGCAATTTAAGCACACTGAACAGTTGAAATACAATAATAATAATAATAATACATGCAATAAGAGACATACAGTATTATTAGTAAGCCATGTGAAATTGCTTTGGAATAAATAGGTCTGCAGTACTGTACAAGACCATTATATAAAATGAATTGGTCGATTATTGGTCAAGATTTCACAATGGTAAGTAGTAGTTTCATCAGCCAAGGTTAAAAGATATTCTACTTTCTGATAAACTACAAATAAAGTTAAATAAAGTTAAATTTTATGAGCAAAATATATTAAACTGCCTTTCCTAAAAATGTCATTAACTATTCTCTACAAGTAATTTCATTTTCAGTACTGATTATACTACCATTATGGAATCAGCAAATACTATTACTACTACACTACAGGTACTACTTCCATAGTGCATTTAATACCACTACAAGTATTGTTTAAAGTGCTGCAAAATTGACTCTTGATGCTTTTAGCCAAGTTCTAATGTTACGTCCTGTCTGTCTACATCTCCAAAGCTCAAAATACTCTGTTCCACCTTGTGATGTCATGTAGTGGTAGTTTTCAGATAACAGCTGCCTTTTATCTTTAGTTCAGGAGAGATTTGCAATTCCAGGTCTGAAATTATCCAAATGACTCTAATGAAGGTGTATGGAGTTTAAAAACATAGTGGAGTACTTCCTGTATTACCACATGACATCACAAGGTGGAACAAAGTGTTTTCTGTTGGAGAGAAGCGCTGAGCCTAAATATAAAGGGTTTGTGTGTATCAATGACAAAACAAAACAAAACAAAACAAAACAATGGGCCCTTTAAAACTTTTGTGCAGTGCAGTACATCTCAATTGTTCTAGCACATAAAACACTTAACATACACAATGCTCAATCAATGTCAGGATATGAAGCAAAAAGGACAGAGCGGAGACTGACAGAGAGCCTATTATGAACACATCCGTCTGTCTTCAGGCCTGAGTGTAAATGGGAGGCATTAAGCAGTCTTCTCCCTGCTACGATTAAAGTGCATTTCCTCTTGTGTGTTTTAAACACATTAGCAGAGGTGGGGAACGTCGGGCCGGGGCACAGAGCAGAGGAAGCAGGATATTAAATTAGAGAGACAAGTTTGTACCACGGCGACCTGCAGGCATTAATGTTACTCACTGCCTATTCATCAGTGTGACAGACAGACGTGAAAGAAGCCCCTAAAAGAACAAACAGTAAGTTCAAAATGTGACAGTACCTTTCGGAGGTCATTCTGGAGCTGCCGCAGGATCACCTCCAGCTGATTGACTTTCCCAGTGAGTGACGAAGGAGGGCTGAGGAAGAGGAGAAACAGAAACATTTTAAAATATGCAACAAAGGTTTTAGGCAAGACAAGGCAAGTGTATGTAGAGCATAATTCATAATTCATAATTCACAATTACTAATTAGCAAAATGTGCATACACTCCCAACTAAAACATATTCTCCCAGTATTTAGTTTACATACTAAGGATGGGATAAGGTTTCATGCCACAATAAATTAAAAAAAATAAAATTGCCACAGGATTGTGCAAACATGTGTAGTTATCTTCAATCCAATTCACACTTTATAGCACATTTTATAAACTGAAATGTTTCCATTGTTCCCATGTGGTGCACAGGAAATCATTAAAAACAAAGAAATAAACAATTGCTCCACCAGTGCTCATAATGAAACCCTAGAACAATAAATAGTAGCTCGTCAGTAGATCTCATGAGATTGAGATGTTTACACTTGGATGGGACAACATTGAGTTAAGATCTTGAGAAGCCTTAGTTTGAAAAAAAAAAAGGAACAATGAAATTAAAAATATTCGATGGAATTAAAACTGTGAGGCCTTAATACATATATTCTTGTACTCTAGTAGCTACACAAGGATTAACACAAAACTGTCCTTTATAACAGAGGTAAGAGGAGTTGTAGAGTAGGTAGAGTAAATGGTCCGTTTTAGTGCACAGGCCATGATATTTCAAATATAAAGCAAGAAAATGATCTAAATCCCAGAAGGTCATATGTAAATACCAGGTATGAATACATTAAAACAAGTAGGTCAAGTTGGTCACAAGTGTTTTATATATAGATGCAATCAAAACCAGTCTACATTTCAGACTGTAATTTCAACCTCTGTAATACATTTGTTTCTTGATTAAAAATACTAAGAGGAACTATCAGAGACAATTGGTTATTATTAAATTAGTATTTTTTAATCAAGACAGAACAGTTTTCGGATTGAAGATGCTGTTCTTCAATCAAGACCAAAATGTGACAAAATCATTGTATTAGCATATTGCAAATGGTGAATAAAACTTACTCCGAGTCCAGTGCTGCGCCCTCAGCCTCCACCACTCTCCTGGTCAGCTCTTTGGAGATCTGCAGAGCCTCGGCCCGCTGCATGTCCGTCATGGTGCAGAAAGACGCCACGCGCTGATCTGGACAAAACAACATCAGACAAAAGGTTAAGGATGATGCAAACAAGTACATGAAAGCAAAAGGCTGGGGCTAACAGAGCAGAAGTAAAGGGTGACCGCATGCACACATTCATACAACAATAATTCATGGTCAGTTGAAATATTACAGGTTTGCCAGAAGAAGAAAAAACAAATGCACAAACAATCGCCATTTCACATTTAACCTTTGTATAGTTGCAATTTGATGAGATTTCACATCAGATTTGGGGATAGGTTTAATAACCGGTATTTTGGACAAGACTGGGTTGTGGCAAAACAAAAAATACTTTCTACATTGAAAAAAATATATTTCGATAATATAAATTGTAAAGTGTAATACAATTAGAAAGTAAGGATAACATTACTCAAGTATAATTTTAATTCTACTGTAAATACCCAAGTCTATGCTATTTGATCTGTATGCTGCATCGGTTCCAATTTTGTATCTGATATGTATTGTGTATCAAATGTGATATGATCAGTTGATTCTAATTTTATTTTGTGTAAAAGAATTGACGTTTTAATCAGTCTTTATTGGAGATTTGTAAGGGGACAAAAGACAACATGGTGAAAAAGGAGCATTTTGGGGACAGTGAAGGGAGTTCCCCAGGGCTCAGTGGTGAGACCCTGTGAGTTTGCACTGACAGCTGTTTGACTGGTAATGGACCTCCTCGCACTGAGCTCGCAGGCATGAGTCACGCTTATTTTACCATATCAGACCCTTAAGGCCATTTAAAGCCCCATGGAAAACCCAAAAGTTGGAGTCTTTCACTCGGGGACTGCTCAGTTAGTTTAAGACTCTTCTTCTCAAGCGCCGTCGGTTTGATACTTAAGATACCAGGATCTGCATATGCATGGGAGAGATTAAGGAAACCCCTCCATTAATTTAGTCCCAAATGAAAGCTAATCCACTCCAAGACAAAAAGATGATAGGGCCTGAAGTGAGAGGAGACATCATTTACATATGAATGAATATTTTCCACATACTCTGCATCATGAAGATTAAAGACTTTGAGGAAAGCGGCTTGTCATTTTAGCATGACCTGCTGTTCAGGTTTACAGGACAAACAAATGCAAATCAGAAAAATGAAGATTATGTTATTTTAAAATATAAATATAATTGCTGGATAGTGGCTGCTGTATACTTAACAAGAAACGTAAACAAATTAAACTATAATATAAAACTACACACATATTTGTTACTTTATCAGTAAGTTTTGCAGCTAATCATTAAAATAAAAATACCTGTCAGATGGCACACTGTTGAGGAAATCTTGAACACCAATTAACTGAACAAGAAATTAAAAATAATCTTAGGCATATGGTTATGAGACTTTATAAAGACCTTTGACTCTTCAGAGAAACTGCACATTGTTGACCAGATGGCCATTATTTTTATTTCTGTTTTTAGGGAAGGAGAAAAACATTTCAGTATTTGGCAAAAAAAAGTTGTGCATTTTAAAGCCATTTGTCACATTTGCTAAAGGTTAAGTTTAATGGCTTAACTGTAGCCTTATACATTTTGTTCATGGCTATACAAATTTGTAGTTTATGGTTGAAATTTAAAACATGAGCACTGACGTTTTTGTTTGTGCTTTGAGCCCACTGAGCCTGTCTGTTTGCATCACTGTAGTAAGCAGTCTCCAAGGAGTCACATGACCGGGCTTATAAACGCCATAAAATGCTTTAGCTCTTTCTATCGCGGGTCTAACCACCTCTGCCTAAGCACACAAGGCACAAAAGCAGCCAGGAGCCTCTCTCTGCTTGGCAACCACGCTCCAGTTTACACAGCGCTTTCTGGGCCAGTCCTGCTGCCGTGACAACCCATGTTTGGTTGCCAGATAAGCTCCGCACATCCACTGATTTCACCACACTTAAATAACCACGCTGCAATGATCCGTAGTAGAAAAATGAGCGTCAAGGAATTAACCCATTTGCAGTATTCATTAATTATGCTTACTGAATATTCACTGCTTGTAGGTCTCAGGGGTCAGGTCGAGTTCAAGTGAAAAAGCTTGTGGCATGATAAGGCTTTCGTGATGCATGGTGACGTGAGTGATCAGAATGTGCTTACAGCGAATGGCAGCAAGAAAGACCACAAGCGATAATGCTAACGGTGATGTGGCGTGCGCTTTTCAATGACTGTTTAATGTGAAAAAATGTATGAGTGACAGAAAAGATGACTTACTTCGGGGGACAACTGCATTGTCTGAAAAAAGACAGGAATTCCTAAATTATTTCTACTTCTAAGACAATTGCCTTATAAATAGCTAAACAGGCATATGCTTATTTACACAGAGCCACAAAAGCAGAAAGCTGAAATGACCAAACTATCAAAGGCCCAAAAGGATTAAAAAAATTCTTCCCAAGAGGTGTTTTAGTGAGCTAACAGTGCCAGAACAGTCTCCATGTCTGTGCTATGGCATCACAATGGGGCTCCCAGCTTCAGGCGCAAAAAGCAAAAGGATTCCCCAGAGTAGTCCCAGCGCTAAAGCCAGCAGCACTTAGAAGAAGCAGGCACACACACAAACCTATGCATTCAAGCATGAGGAGAGTTAGAAGGGCAAACACACACGCCAAGCAATAGGCAGAGAGTTAAAGTGGCGTTGGAGGGGGTTAGGTAAGGCGCGAGCAGCTCTATAGCCGGACCGGTTACCTTCGAAGGCCCGGGCCGCATCGACCAGGTGGGACCAGTCCAGACCAGAGGCGGGGTCAGGGAGGGGCATGAGGCCAGGGTCGCTGAACTTGGAGCGGTCCGCCAGAGAGCCGTCCGAAAACCAAAACTCATCTGCAGAGACAGGCAGCACCCGTAAGTGTCTGTGCCTGGTCTACAAGAGGGGCTAAAGGGGACTGGAATTTTCCATTTTTGGAAAGGAGTGGAAAGGATAGAGGGGCAAAGAGGAGGGGACTTGAACAAAACATTAAATAACAATAGTAGGGTTCTTAAAAGTTAGAAAAATAGGGGGTTAGAAGCCTATCAGTATAAAAGACTTAGTTAAAAAATTAAAAGGTACAAAAACAGCTTTTACAATAATCGAAATATAAATTCAGAAATGTCTACCACACTCTAAAAGGCTGAAGGAACTTGCTTAACATACCAGGCAACCTAATAGCATTTACCTATATACCATTTATATTTAATCCTAACCAATGAAAGCACTAAAACAGATCAGTAACCTAATTTTGCAGGTTCCCATAACCATATAAACAACCATTGACCATGACTTCCATTTACTTGTATATGAAGAATATCCAATAAAACCTTTGTATTTCACCCCAAACTTTAACTATGACTTCAAACTGAATCAAATAAAAGACCAAGGCCACACAAGTATCTCTCCAGTGCCCATCAACAACACTTTTCCTACTCTCTACCTCTCTCCAAACCTTGAAAGACAGTTCAATAAGCACCAAAGGCTAGAATTTGGATATAGAGCCAGAAAAATATCTTGAGGTGACCATCCTTTTTCAATCTTCCCTGGATCATAAGAGGGAGAGAGAGACCAGAAATTCCCCACAATTCCTTACAGCAATCAGGAATCCATCAGGTATGACAGGCAGAAGATGGCAAAAGAAAAAAAAAGTCTTTCCAAAAGCTATTTTCTATCCTAATGACAGCAGTTGGAGATGCTGAGGATGGCTTTGAGATGGGATGGAGAGGACAGGAGCCAGGCAGGGACACATGGGTGAGTGAAACGCTATGCATGAAAGGTTGTGACAATTCTGATGGAAAAATAGCTGCGTTCATGTCATAGTAGATTGGCAGTAGAAGCAAAAGGCCAGGCAGGGCACAGAGATATCAGTGGGGCACAATAAGAATAGACTTGCTTAATCCTGGTTTATTTCTGGTATATCCCTGGTTTAAAGTGGTTTAATTGTGGTTTAAAGTGGATTTTACCTACATGCATAATCCTGGTTTATCAAGTTGAACGGCATTACACACTTGTTGTTGCTGGTGGAATATATTGTGCAATGCTGCATTTCATTTGTTCAAGTTTGTTTTTTATGTATGTTACTTAACATAACATATAATCCTACTTGGCTCTGTTTGAGTCTTGAGTTAGACCTGGTTTAGTTTTGCTGTTGTCATATTTTTAGTCATAACCTACTTTGAAAATTTGTTGTTTTTTATAGCTATGGTTTAGCTTTAGTTAAATCTTGAATTCATGCCATTTCCATACTTTCTAGGAATTTGAAGTACCATTTTGAATGTATTTACTATTATATCTGTATTAATATTAAGATTGTATTCATATTTTTAGTTAATATCTTTTTGAAATCTCTCTGTTTATGCATATTCACAGTGAGAGACTAGCCTGCAGTGACAGGTGTCTGCTTAATGCGCAGGCACTGACAGGCCCCTGGTAAGTTCCCTGTGTCTTCTCCTCCTCCAATTAGCCGACTCTATCCAGAAGTGTTGTTCAAGAGCGCGCCAGTTGGGCTAATGATATCGAAGGGACTGGAGTGGCTCTTCCACTTAGTGTCTGAATCCTGGCTCTTATCTGGCGCCACAGAGGAGGGACTGATAATCCCAGAGACACATGCAAAATAAGTGTTTGTAGATTTAATTTGGTGCTGTGGAGGATGCTGTCAACAAGCAAGAGGAGAGAGAACATCTAGGGGGACTTGTGGTGTCCTTGAGGTGACCCACTGTAATCTGTCATACAGGTGAATCTCAATTCATTCAAATAAATGTAATGTCTAATTAAATGCATTTTGTAAAATATTTGAAAGATAGTGCATTGTATAAAGGAACTGAACTGAAGCACTTGTTTTAGCAATGATTATATAGAGTTACAGAAAAAAAAAACTTTGTGCACTATGTAAGCGGAGAGGGTCTGCCATCTGCTTGTCTCCATAGAGATGAGTTAGTCTAGAACAGTTGTGTCAAACTCAAATTCACAGAGGGCCAAAATTAAAAACTGGGACTAAATCGTGGGCCAACCTAAACATTTATTATACATTTTCAACAACATCTGCATGTTTTCTCTTCTTTCAAGATTTGAACTGTTAAACCTTTTCTTATTAAAATAAATGTTTAATAATAGTTTTGCTTAAACACTGAATCCAGAACAAGCATAATATAAAATAATAACAAAATTTGAAATAAATAATGTCTCTATAGCCTATCTGTAGCCAGTGAGCCAGCTATAATACATATTTGATATGATCTCGCAGGTCAAATATAATATATAATATAATAAACAAATATAATATTTTGTGGGCCAAATTTGGTCCCCGGGACTGAGTTTGACATGTCTGGTCTAGAAGGTTTCACAGAAAGGCATTAATCTCCATGCCGACAAGCAGGACCAAGTTACAAAGTGAGAATCTCGAAAAGGCATACTTGCTCACAGTAAGAATGCATGCTTTACATTTTTTCCAGTAACATCTGTAAATTAATTGCAAGATATGTTTAATGACATAGTGAAACTTTCTACACGGAGACAAGTTGACGGCAGAAAAGTTACATAAACCTTTGGAATGTTACTTAAAGCTACAACACCAGGTCTAAACCAGTTACTTGAACTCAATTACAGATTTAGTTTTCTGCTATTAACATCATTCAGATTCACTGAGATGCACCTGTACACTCTCACATTTCTTCTCCAGCACTTACTTCTCAGATTGGACGCTCCCTGGTTGTGGATCATTCTGGGAGGTAGGGTGCAGTGGTACGGTGGGGTGGTGCTGAAGAGGATGTCATTGGGCATGGCTTGGTCCAACATGGAGCTGTGTGAACTGGCATACGAGGAACACTTCCTGTTGCTGCACACGCTTTCGTCTGAGAGAGTCCGGTACAGTGAGCGTCTGGGGGACAGGCTGCCCATCGCTGACACCTGAGAGAGGACAGGGAGAAAACAAGACTGTCACAATAAAGAAGGATGTCCAGTGGCGATGCTTGAACTAAAAAAAAAGGCATTGCAGAGGTGTAAAGTTACAAAACAAGTGTTAAACCTGGGCTTAAACTTTTCTAGTCGAGGGTATACCAGCTGAGATATTACAGCATATTGTTTTGACTGTTACCATGGAAACAAACTGAGCACTCCACCAGGTTAAGGTCAGATCTGTGCAGAGGAGATGCTGCCCACAGGAAGAATATGTTGTTTTTTTTTGTAGCATCAATCTGTAATTGAATAAATGCAATATACATATGCTAAATGCCATGGACACAAGCAGGCGTCACCAGAAGCATTACAAACAAATCTAGGACAATATTGTGTCAAATTTATAAAAAAGAGACCATATTGAAGTGAAACACAGCAGAATAAAATCAGGAAAAGGGAAGGCCAAACTGGACTAGACAAACCAAAGCCAAAAACAAATTTAAATATGAATAAATGAATGATAAGACAAGGCTGAACCAGTACTAAATCAAATACCACCAAATGTACTGCTACCCTTTTGTAAGCCACTTGGCCAATACTTGCCTATAGTAGCACTGTTAACATTTGTTCTGTGTGTTACTTATAGCTTTAGCCTTTTGCCCCAGAGGCTTACTGGAGTGGGCAGCTGGGCGGGTAAGTCGTGAACATCAGCCTACAATGACAGGAATCAATTTCACTGTTAGCTCAGAGGAAAATGTGGCAGGATCAGACACAGCTGGAGTGTGTCTGCACGAGTGTAAACGAGGAGATGAGGAAGAGGAGGAGAGGAAGAGGAGGAGAGGAGGAAGAGGATGAGGTGTATGCAGGTGGTGACAGAGGGCACTGAACTGTGATCACTGAGCTTAATGTGAGAGACAAAGGAGCTCTGCCCCTGGTGATAAAGCTGCACTGTGTAATATTATTGGGCAGCTAACTGTATAAACACATCTATGATAAGGGTGCAGGCAAGGCTTTAGAAGAAAACAAAAGGAAGTTCCTGTATTTTTCTTTGAAGGTACATAGATATAAAAAAGTATAGTTTTGGTAGATTGGTATAGGAAGAATTGGCAGGGGATACAAAAGACTATTCACAACTGAAATACAAAACACAATTAATTTACATTCAGTGACTTTTTATATAAGGGACACTATAAAATTTTTCTGTTGGGGAGATGTTATAGCGACTAGGTCAGAAATTGGGATACACTAGACGGCTTGCCAGAACCCCCGAAGTTGTAGACCGCGCACCAGCCAATCAGTGAAGAGCTGTGAAGCCATGACTGGGTCCCTTTTTGTGGTACAGCACAACATTAAACAAAGCAGTCAAGAAGGGCAATAACGTCTTTCCCCTTGATAAAATTCACCAAACATTCTCTTTGTTCCAGCTTTAAATCCTCGATCTCGGGAATCGTTGCCAACACAGAATATATGGCTTCGTCTACATCCATTTCGACGGCTTTGTTTACTGTTGTGCTGTACCACAAAAAGGGACCCAGTCATGGTTTCACAGCTCTTCCCTGATTGGCTGGTGCATGGTCTACAACTTCTGGAGTTCTTGCAAACCGTCTAGTGTATTCTGATTCTTGACCTAGTCGCTGAAGAGAATGAAATTGAGCGGAGGCACTAGGTAGTGTCATCCTGGCTATCCCAATAAAACAATGCCTATACAAAATTCGTAGCTACGTGGAAATCTGTGTCACACATATGCCAACAAACATTGCTTGTAAAGTCAAACTAGGAGACAGTTGAGTTCCCGTGGCGAAGATTCCCAACGCAAAATGCCGAGAGGAAAAAGGAATGACTTGTGATGGGAAAATTAAGACATCTGGTACCAATACACAAGCCCCAAACACATGTACTATAAATAAACAAATATTTCCTGACTTTGCTGACGTTATTTGGCTGCTCTCAGTTACAGTAAAACAAAATTGCTGAATCATAACCTTGTGCCCTTTATGTGTGAGTTAATTACACAGTACCCAAATGCGAGCGATAACATGGTTTCTTAATGCTGGCAGGAGAAGAGCTACCGTTCAAACATGAAAAAAAACTCAAATACCAACCCAATCCGTCAGTGTCCTATTTTGCCAACATAAATATTAAGACTTCAAAAATGGCCGCAAATGATACGTGCTGCAGTTTGCCAGATGTGTAAAATGTGTGGCTCTGGCTTTCCAGCTGTAACCGCTGCTAGACCTGTATACCCACTAGCTCACACCCATCTCAATTTCAAAGCCTCTTCCACTCCACAAAATCCCACGGTGACAATTTAACACGCGTCTAGTATGCCTTTAAAGCGGTGATACAGTTGAATTCAAAGGAGCATAAACATGGCAGCCATCTTAGGAGCTTTCACTTAACAAAGTTGTCTGTTATTCCCACCCAGCTTTACGAGATTAGACCCCGTAAGGAGCGCTCATATAAAGCAGAAATAGCTCAGATTTAAATGCACTATAAAACGAGACACGGCAAATGAAAGATGGCGTTTTCTTGAAGCTCCATATATCTTTATTGCATCTTCAGAAAGTAGCGAGGATGTTTGATGAGATATGACACTGGATATAAAACATGCAGAAATGTGGCAATATTCTTTTGTGGAGGAAGTACAAGGGCAAGAATGTGCTCAAATACAAATTAAGATTATAAAATACGCTCCTTACAAGTGCATTATGTAACTTTTTTGGAGAGTCTGCCACCTGCTTGTCTCCATGGAGATGTTATTGTTTTGTATGCCATTTAACATATCTATACCTACAGAGAGAAACAAGTCAAGCCAAGTTACAGGTCAGAATAGTGGAGAGGTGAACTCGCTCTCAGTAAGAATTAATGTATTGCATTGTGGCTGTGAGGGGGGTTGCTGATCTGACCTGTAAATTGGTCTAATTTGGTCTCACTGAAGATAGAAAGGTCACCAGGAGTCACCAAACTTTTTCTCCGGGGGGCCACATTATCGCTCCTGACTGTGACGAGGGCCGGGGTCGGGTCGGCTTTATAACAGAACTGTTTGACCCTGAGGATGCAGATTATATTCTGTGAAAACAGCCACACTTTCTTAACATATCAGACAAACTGCACGGTCCTTACACTGAACAAAAAAAATAATCGGTCGTCCACTGTTCTTTGAAAACTCTGCACTCTTTTTGTACTTTAACACTTGCCGTCTTGCTGTCCTTAACTGCACTACAAAACTCTGCACGTGTGTTGACTGTAACTGTTTGCTCTTGAGCTTTTCAGGTGACGAAAATTCAGGTGATGAAAATATGTAAATACGTCATCTAATTATTTAAATATAAATACTTCATACAAATATCATTTTTTTATAAAAAAAAACAACAAAAAAAACCTGCAAAATACAAGATGCAGATGTGTTATTATTTGCCAAAAAGTAATAAAAAAAAAAATAGGCCATGACAACTTTTGAGGACTGTATCATAGGGCCAGTTCAAGTGGTGGGGGGGCTGGGGGGCCGGTCACAGCAGCGTTGAGGGCCGGAGTCAGCCCTCGGGCCTTAGTTTGATGACTCCTGGTTTAATGCCATACTATAAAACATTCCAGACAAAGCAATAACATCTCAATGGAAAAAAAAAATAAATTGACAGAGCCTCCACCAGAAAAGTTACATAATACACCGTACTGGTCTGGTTTATTCCTGGTTTGTTCCTGGTTTAGACACAATCTTCAAAAGGAACCATGACTGTAGCGATTTTCAGTTTCAATGCTTCTGAGAATTTGTGTATTTGGGTCACATTAAAATCATGTTATACCAAATAATACACATACACATAAAACAAAGCTCTTATCAGCAACAGCAGAAGCGGTATACCACATTGCATTGCCCTATTTTCCATGCCCCCACTGCCTGGACTAAATAAAGTCAACAATTGCCATATGGGAGACTTTTGAAATGCCACAGGGGAGGATGTGTTGGACAGCCACCTATTCAGAGGCCTTTTCCTTCCCAGCGGAGGTTCAAAAGAGGAATGTTGAGCGGGCAAGGGAGCTGTGAGCTGCTTTCCTCTGCGTCATACACACAATGGGACCCTGTCTGTGGCGGGACATCCCAGAGGACAACAAGATTGGCAAAGAAAAGCTGTGCACCTGCTCAACAATGCACCACATCCAGTGACCTTAGCGGAAGTGGCACAAGGATTAACCTGTATCTCTCCTTGATACGCGAGATGCAATCTGTTTAGTTTCACATATGCTTTCCAGGTTTTTTCTATCTTATTGATCAGGATTTGTGATCTAATAATTTTGCTTTCCTGACATATCATTTACTGATAAAAAATAAATATGCCCTTTCTGACAGGGTAGCTGGTGCTGTTTGGATGAGAAATTTATATATTTAAAGCTGCTTTATCCGATTTTCAAACCACAAAAGGAGGATCTAGTTTGGTGCTAGCTCTCACAAAACCGTTGGCACATGTATAATATTCGAAAGCATGAATTTTTGGGAAATGCACAGCTTTAGAACAGCTTCTTTCACACGGACAGACTGCCAATGCACTTCATTATTAGCTGTAGCACAAAGCGGTCTAACCCCAGACTTGTTTTTGTTCTTACATAATTTTGAGAATTACAATCAAAATAATGCAGCTCCGAACATTATAATATTTCTCCTCTACCTCTACTCATAATATACAAAAACATACCAGAGAAAATCACTGTTATTTGGGATCAGATGTGTCTATTTGGATTAAGTCTTTTCATGTATTTTATCACGACTCCTAGATTGCTTTTCCACCCATGATAATATTCCTGAATCAGAAAGGGGAGAATGAGATTACAACAAAAGCCACACACTATGCCACACACTGCCCCTTTTGTGGAAGTCATTCTCTGTGGGAAAGAAAACAGGATGAAACGAAGGGAAATCAGAGCACAGCACCCACACACCTGACTTCATTTAGACAGGAAGTGAGGCTGCTGCTCTTTGGTCAGAACGCCACTTTACAAATTGTACGTTCGATGCACAAAACTAATCAGGGGCACAGGCAATATCCGTGCCAGGAACAAGGCCTATCTAATATCTATTTGTGATTTTTCTGACAAGCATTGCAAATACGAACAGATTTTTGATTTACGGTAAGTTTTAATAATCAGATTCTGTTCAAAGTGCACATTTTAAGCATGTCCAGAAGCAGTAACATAAGAGGGAAGACTGAAATATGAACTGCTAAACTCATACAAGAATCCTATGCATGTTTGTAGAAGTCTAAACTACACAGACTGATAGTATTTTAGATAATAAGACAAGATAATTTATTATTTGCAAAGGATTAAATAATTGCAGCCTTCGCAGTCATTCAAATTGCAATTACACATCGATTGTGATTAAGCTTGCATCTTTAAACTGCATTTGTATTTGAAATAAAGCAGCATCCCAAAATAACAGTCTGTAGGGGTCTTTTCTCGGTAGATAATGGATACGGGGGATGAGGGAAGCAGAAGAAACTGAAGATGCAATTAAAAGAGTGTGCAGGACCCGGGGACATCAAACATCGATGCACTCCTGCCACTTCCTGGCTCTAATCCATGTCATCCCAACTGAGCAAACTCGGCCCGTTAGAAATTAAATTAAGCAAACAGTATGTGCCAGTCAATGAGAACTGAAAGGTCTTTGTGAAGACAGAGGGCAGAGCTCATACACAGTGCATTCACTCCGGGCTTATTCAGGAGCAGGTGATGTGATGAGGTGGCCAAACAACAACCCCCCCTTCTAGCCTAAATGAAATCTGGTGGTCAAAATTCTCTGAAAATTTTGAAGTTCGAAGAATCATATTTAATTCAATGCATGGGCACTCTTGCCATCGCAATTAACAATCCAAAACAAACATATATTTCAAATGGGCTCAACCTCACTTCACCTATGAAACAGGAAGATGCAACTCATGAATATTATAATATATTTTGTCATAAGCACAGCAAATAATCTGCCTCAGAGTACACACTAGTTTTGCATTTTTTGTTGGATGCTTTTCCTAACACATTTATACAGGCCAAACACAAACTGACAGCATTAATAAGAGTAAGAATGTATTCTAATGTTAGAGCTTTTCTACTATTACTATCTTTTCTCAGCTATGTTTTCTCCCATTTAAAATATGTGTTAGTAAATGCATAATCCTATAACCTTAACCATAATGTCAAAACAAGGCCTGAAACTTTACTGTAACCCTACAACCCAAAAATTGTCAGAACAGAGAGCTGCGGAAACCCCCTTTTAATCTTTTTACGAACCTGGAAGCCGTGGGAGTAGAGCTAACCATTATTACAAGTAATCTATCAAAATCAAACCACGTTGATGAGAATATTTTGTTAACCCTATAGCAACATAAACTGCAAGCAATAGGAAGCATTTGCGAGCTATAAGTCATTTCAATCAAGCACAAAATCTCTGCGTAGATGGCATGTACGTCCAATCTGCACATTCAGCTGACTATGCACAAACTATATTGGTTTGTCAATCACCACATTGTACACAGCAAAGGGACCGGCCTCACCTTTCGGCTCTCTCCTGGAGGGCTGTCGGGCATCATCATCTTCAGGTACTCCTCTTTGGACAGTCTCTGCAGCGTGCCCCCCTCCCGTTCTTCCTGTAGACGGCAGGCGGCTTCTTGAGCATACAGCTGCCTACAGATGAGACAGAGGGCACAGAAGGGCACAGTGCATCAGAAAGAGCTGCCCGTGCTGCACGCTGAGGGGGATGCTATGAGCAACCGCAGCGGGAGGGTCATGGGGCATCCAGCTATTCACACAACTGTGTCGGGATCGCGCCGGGGCTTCAGGTGCTCAGCTATTACTAGGCTAACGTCATCCGGCTCATTGCTAGTCATGAAGGGATGGAGTAATAGTAAAAGACAGTGGTGCATCTTACACTTCACTGGCTTGTTTTTGAATTCTATTAGTAAAGGTCCCATATTAAACAAAATTGTGAGCCATGTTATAATGTTGCTACCTCATCAAAATCATACTCAGAGCTGTGTTTTATTTCATTTCATTCACACATGTTTGAGTAATCCTGCGTTATTGGCTTGTCTATATCTCCAAAGCTCAAAATGCTCTGTTCCAGGGTTTTCTGTTTGAGAGAAGAACTCAGCCTAAATATGCAGGGACTGGAATGAAACAAACTGTGTGAATGAAACAAAACATAGCTCCAGATACATTTTTGATGAGGAAATAGCATTAAAACAGATTAAAAAAATAGCGTAATATGGGGCGTTTAACTACACTTGAGCATATAGGGTCATTGGTAATAAAAAAAAAAATCAACCCAGATACTAATCAATACTAAAAACAACATCAAATTTAGATAATTTGGACATGTATTCATACTGACAAGATCATAATGTATTTCATCAGGGTTTGACCTTTCCTGAATTGCTTTAGAATGGTCTGTATCAATAGCCGTGTCCCAATTCAAGGGCTGCAGCCTTCAAACGCCCTCGAATTGGGACACGGTTACACAATGGGTTTCAGAGTTATGAAAAATTTGCACCGTTGTCATAGCAATTAATAATTTAAAACAAAAGCTTGCACATATTAGATCTTCAAAATGTCACCTACAAACAGGAAACAGAAACCCACTGCTATTTGAAACAGTGCAAGACCATATTGCATTATTAAAGAAACTACCAGTATTTCTGTACAAAAATACATATTATTATGGCGTCAAAAACAATCTTGAAATTTAAATATTGGTTTAGCAATAGAAAACAGACAAAGGTTTTAGACAGGAATTACATGTAGACGAGACAAGTTTATCCTGTGGGTTAGACAAAGGTGTGTTCAAACAACAACAAGGAAAGTGCTGTTAGACAAGGTACAATCCTTACACTACCTACAAAAGGGTTAGCCATGAGGTACACAAATACAGTACATTTAAATATTTTGTGGGACTGTGCGTTGAAATACAGGGATAAAGGGACGGTAAACAGCCCAGCAGCTTGAGTGGTCATGTGGCTGTGAGACTTCTGCCTGAGAGCAGTTGGCAGCACGAGAGTGGACCACAGGGACTAGAGCTAGACAGCGAGACAATAAGAAGACAGCCAGGCCAAAGCTAGACCTAGAGCGAAGTTTTGCCTTGTTTTAAGCTACCACCACCATAGCAACCATTCCCAAAATAGTTCGTTAAGTGCTGCAAATGTCCGAGGTTTTATTGCCAGATGCTTTATGAGGGATTTTCCCAAAACTAGTGTTCAGAAACCTGTTATACTGAACAACCGAGATAAAATATAATATCATATTTTGCCTTAAAAATCAAGTTAAAGGTGCACTGCGTTACTCTTATGGTTTACATGAAGATGCTCTTTCTTTACCTCAAAATTTCCAAAGTATGGCATTAAACATATCTATTGTGCATCTGTTTCATTACATGCGTCTTATAAATAGGGTTGCCTTTCCACAAATCTGAACTGTAATTTGGCAGTCTGCTTGTTACCATGGAGAAAGGCACATTTAAAGCTATAATGAAGCAACAAATGCATGGAGACAAGTATGGTGCACACTAACCTTGATCAAATGTTATGCAGTGCACCTTTATGTGTAATAAATAACAATGCTAAAATATGAATGTGCCAAAAATAGCGCCGTAATTTTGAAGTGTAAAGGAGACAGTAGTGTTGTGGTTTTCTCTGTTGCTAAGTGAACGTGGGGGTTACAAAAGGCTACTGGGTGCAGTTTGTCACAGTTGGGTTCAGCAGAAGTCACCACAGAAATGTCACAGCCACTGGAGCACAGCTGGTTACCCTCTCCCCTCTCATCACCAGGACCAGCACTGCTTTAAACATGCCAGGATAGCACAGAGGAGGACGGGGCAGAGGATGGGGAAAGGCTGTGAAGGGGGTGGGGCTAGTGTGCGTGGGATTGGGTGTTCCGGGTCAAATTGGGGCCATGGGGTTTTGACTGACTGTGTACCTTGAACGCTCTGACAGCATTTGGAGAAGGAAAGCTAACAAGCTCTCCGCTCCTCTGCAACAAGCAAAGACAAAACAGCCCGAGGTTAGAAGTTACACATTACGTTATTAAAGTGCAAATGAGAAAAGTTTTTTAAAATAGAGGAAAGAGAACTTCATTACACTAGAACAATATCTGTGAGTTATATTAGCCCATTTATCATAAAGCAGTGTTATGTAAGGAGAAGAAACACATAAACAAACAATGGGGAGCATAACTGGATTAGTGAGGTTTTTCATAAGTAGACTCGAGATGACTTTACTGCATGCGATCAATCACACAGCGCTTTAGTGGCAAATTTCATGGCTTAAATTAAATTACCAGGGAGCTAAAGCAGGAGGGTAGATCGTACATTCATTCTCCCATTCACCCAAAAAGCCTGGAGGACCTATACATAAGCACATTCAAACAGGCATAGACGCACAACCTGCTAAGAGCGTATTTTCCAAACAGTGGCCCAGTGTTCCCCCTTACGCCATTTAATCTTCAGACACTTTCAGTCACTCGTCACATAAAGACTAGGCGCACTGTACGTTCCTGTCCTAAGTAAGTGCATTCATCTTTATTGATTATTGTTCTGAAGGTTATTCTGTGCTATTCTTTAGCTTAGCAGCCCATGATGTTTCTAGATAACCAAATCTGGCCTCTAAACAGTGGGTCATTTGTTCTCATTACATGTTATAGGAGACTAAGGAGATTAGTGGGACATATAGTACATAATGTTATATATTATTTATCCACTTGCTTTTTCTTTTTTTGTGTGTTTCTTTTTTTTAAACCAGATGTAGTAACATAAAATCCTTGACTTGATCCTTGATTTGCACATTGATATAACATAAACATACACTACAGTATTTAGGATCACTTTATAATAACTATACCTATTTAACCTTAATAAAGCATGAGCAAAGAATCATTGCATTGCATTATTAGTAAATCATTCTCTCATAGCTTACTGATCATTAACAAATGCTCAAATTTGTACTTAAATATGCATTTACAAATACACACACATGGTTAGTTCACGTAATAAAGTACAAAATAATTATAAGTAACTATTTACAGCACAGGCGAATTAAGTGCAAGTTAAGTGCTAATTAAGGTAGTAAGTAAGTAAAGTATTTACTAAGCCTGAATCATTATTAATTAAGTGTTTGTTCATTATTAATTAAGTCTTTTTTCATGCTTTATTAAGGCTAAATAAGGTGTAGTTATTATGAAGTGTTACCCAATATTTTTTCTAAATTCTGTCAGTGGGGATTGTAAACTATCAAAATTGTTTTATTGTACGTAAGATGCTAAAGCTATTTGCAACTACTACTCACTATATGACAATGAATTGCGCATACTGCAAAATGTATGACAGATAATCGCATCCTAAAGCCTAGGCTCAGTTGTGATTGTGCTGCCATTTTACACCATTTGGAGCACATGTTACATCTATTACCTTTGAGTTCAAGTCAAGCTTTGATCAGATAGCATGTAGCAAGCAGTTTCCAATTCAAACTACTCTGATTTTTTCCCATCTGGAATGTAGGGCACGGCAAATCCAATTTCAATGAAGCACAAAAACGTGGTATTTTATTCCACTGTACATTCCTAAGCTAAGTAACTACATACATTTGTCTTTATTTGTTCTGGAGACCGTTTGGCGGCTCATGTCTTTGCACTGGCAGCATGTTGGCTCCCTGTAGAGATGCTGATCTGGTAAAGGCTGAGGCCCCGGTCTGTGGGGAGTAGGCTTCACAGCAGCGATCAATAACCACAAGTGACATGTGCCAAGTGTATTATGTCCACGGCTTCATCGAGCTTATTTATTTGGTGGCTGTCGGCTTCAATCAGGGACAGTTTTCATGCACACAGGGCGAGCTGATTCGGAGGAGGGCTCTGTTCTGGAGTGGTTTGGGTCTGGTACAAAAAGCCAATGGAAACAGGTGTGTGATGCTAGCTGTGTTGACAATGACACTACTACAGTTGTGCCAACCAGCTTTGATACATTACAACACTGTACTGCTGTGCAATGTTTCAGCCATACGATAGGCAACATATGGCCAAGGTGTTCTGGAGCAGTGGTTCTCAAACTTTTCACACTAAGTACCAGATCTAGACCTCAGGTCTAAACTTGGGTAAACTCTAGGCATGTAATGATATTCAAATCTCTCTACAATATTTTCACGATATACATCCCACGGTACGATATTTAATGCAATATTTTGTAGACGCTAACAAAATTGTGAAAATGCGACGTTCTCCTTTTAAAATTGCCTTGACAAGAGTTTAGTTCTGTCTTAAACCACAGAATTAAGATTTAAATGTGCTTAAAACTTATGATTCTTCTTATTATTTGTATTACTTTTCATGTAGTCTGCACTGTAATGGAGCAAAGGATCATGGTATATGTAGTTCACTCAGTTTTTAAGCTATTGCAGCACCAAAACAATTAATTTAAACAAAGAGACTTGTAATTTGATGTACTGTGATGGACCACGGTATAATTGTGAGACTTTTGACGATACGATATCACAATATTTCAGTTACTGTTACATCCCTAGTAAACTCAAGTCTGAAATATGACCACAATTGCTATGCTGGTTGTGAACAAAGACTATTCCACAGGAAGAAAAAATGTGGATTAAATAAACACTCAATTAAGCAAATATTTGAACTGCAGAGGAATCCACAAAGGGGCATATACCAGAATCAGTTTTGGGGAAATATTTTTGTTAAAACTTGAAGTGGAAGTTTTAATTTTATTTTCTTGGCATGAGCATAAATAGCCGATTTGGGATGACTAACTCTTAAGCGTAGTTACAATTTAAAGTTCTAATCTCTCTTTATCATATATTGTATTATATCTAAGGTTTTTGCTTATTTTTAAATGTTTAAATGCAAGTTTTCATTGGCATAACTTTCCTTGGCTTCACCTTTTACACTGAAGACTTTACGTATACTCCTGTCCAAGACATTCCTGTGTCTTCTTGCTCTCACACTCACCCACACTGTGAAATGTTGGGAGGCCTCTCAATGTCCACCTCTTCCTCATTGGCACTATCCCCTTTAGGGACACTGGCGGTGGGCTGGGGGCGTGCCTGTCCACAGGGCTCTGAGCTGTCCCCCTGCAGCTCCGCCTCTGGCCTGTCGGAGGCGCTGCTGCTGGTTTGGGGGATGGTGTAGGCCTTGGAGGAGTCAGCGGACATACAGTACCGAGCACCGCGGGCCAATGGGCTTCCCGAGTGATGTGACCCACTGGCCAAAACAACAAAAGGAAAATAAAGCATAATGTAACTCAAAGATGAAGAAAAATGACAAATAAAAACACAAATAAAGACAAAATTATGGAGAATGCATGAACAGAATACATGAGTAAAAGATGGACTGGACTGTCAACAATCCTCAAAATGGTGGCCAGCAGAGAAAAAAGTCAAAGAATGAATGTAACAATGAAATGTGGCTTGAATGAGCTCAGAAGTTTAACAATGGGAACACTATGAAGTATTTGGATTGTTTACACAGTGTTTGATGATTATTTTTTACAAATCAGTCATACTAATATGGTCCTTCTTGTTGATATTCACAGTGTACTATTCTGGGGGAAAGTCATAGTCTCACACAATTTACTTGTAAATTATAAAAAATGTCTGATTTACCCAAATCAAGATTGCAGATCAGATATTTTATTTATTATTCATTTGAGTTAGAGGTCAGAGGGCAGGACTATGCTAGGGCTAGATGATCACATAAATGGAAGTAAATCAAGACTCCAATCACACTTGACTAAACCAGTTCATAGCCATATCTAGAATTGTCCTATGTAGGAGTTTCAGACTGATGAAAAATTAGGACTGTTCCAACAATTTAACAAAATATTATATCTTTTGAACACGAAAAAATCCCCAAAATGTTAAATAAGAGGAAGCAAATAAAAGGAAGTACTACTAATTCCAGGTATTAATGTTGACAAGTCTACCAAAACAAATGGACTCACAACAGTTGCTGAATTTTCTTCGTAATTGTGCCGTTGTGTTTAAAGCTGCATTTGTGGTCAGATGTAAATCAATATCTGAATCTAGGTTGCGTTCCAAAATGTAGATGAGATGATCAATTCCTGTTACCGGAAGCACTACAATACAATACAATACAATGTGTCGAAGGGAGGATGATTCAAATCCACATTATATTCTCGTATAAAGATTTTTGTTGAACCTTGTCTTTTTAATATCCAAAAATATCACCTGACACATGGGATTAATCCTTCTCTAAAGACGCACTGCTGTTTCTGTCTGCTCCGCTTGGCAGTGTGCGAGAGGGTTGTTTAAACTAAACAGTCATTAAATCAAAGGGCAACGGATACGTGAAGTGTGATTTAATGATAAGCCAATATGAAGAGGTTCTTAATGTTGGCTAAATAAGTGCATCTCTATTAGTCTCCCTGCAAGATCCAATTTTATGTGTAGCTATTATATTATGTGTCACTTTTAATAGCACCAATATTTTCAAGTGCAATTGTTTTTCATGTACACTTCACTTCCATGTATAATTGTGCACAATAGCTTTAGAAATTGGTGCCATTATTCAATCTCAAAAATTTCTTTTTCAGAAGTTGCCAGACTGAACTTCAAACAAATACTAAGATTCAACATTTGACGATCACAAGTTTGAATATTTCTTCATCTGAAAAGTGCTGGAAAATAGTGCTGAAAAGACTGACCTGCAACCATACAGTCAGATTATGGCTTTACTTTTTTGTTTTTTCCTGTCAGTTTTGGCTTTTAAGAACTTCAAACTCCACACTGTTTCAAATATCCTGGGACCTAGAGGCTAGCTTTAGCTACTGGCGTTAGCTCCAACTCCTCCATATTCATGACCATCTGGACCACACCCGCAAAGTGCACTCCCGCTGCTCCTGTGTTTGCTCAGATGCCACCCTGTTGTCAGAGACTATTATGTAAAAAGTGGCACACATCGAACAAGTCAAGGTGATGGCAGGGGCACCCTCTTCTCTCATTCCCCACTGACATACTCTTCTAGGACACTTTTCTTAACAAGCCAATGAGCTGAACAGATTGTAATAACATCTTCAATGGCACCAACAAACACTGTTTCAAAGTGGTAGACAGACAGTACGCGTGTGGCTCCGGGGCCCACCCTCCTGCCACCTCTCCTCTTCCCCCAGATGGGTGCCTGTCTGGAGGGGTGGGGCAGTCATGATGAAGCTTCCCTATGGTGCTCCAGTCTGGCTCCAGCCACAAACATCACAAAACACAGCTGGATGACTCAGGCAAAAGAGGTCAAGAGAGGGGTGAAAAGGGTAGCGAACAGCCAGCAGGAACTCTGATTTTGTGTGAGCTACTGTAAAAAGCCCATTTAAATCACTAGGTTTTCAGGCACTGTAGTGTACTGTCAACAGTGATTAAAGGTGCACTGTGCAACTTTTCTGGTGGAGGGTCTGTCAAATGCTTTTCTCGAAAGTTTCAGAGTATGACATTAAAGGGTTCTACCTTTACGAAGACCAAACCAGACCAAGTCACAAGTTGCAACCCTGCTGACAGTCAGAATGTCTGTTTTTCTAAGTATTTTTGAGCTATAAAACTACCTGTAATTTAATAAATATAAGGCAGAGCTGTTTAATGTCATACTGTGGAATATTCCAGACAGAGCAATAACATATCCATAGAAACAAGCAGGTAACAGACCACACCCAAAAAAATGCACAGTGCAACTTTAAAGGGTGACAACTTTTACACAAGGCAAATCAATCACTCAGCATATAAGGCTGACATGAATGGAGTAATATGCTAGAAAGAGAAGTCTGACAGCAAAAATAAATGAGGTTGAATGCTATATATGAAAATGAACATAGGGGCCTTTTGACAGTAGGTCTAAATATAGGCATGTAAGTTCGTTGTAGTTAATCACTTTCAGAATATTTTACTTATTTCTTCTTTATTGGATTTATAGATTTATAATTTCCTTTAAAGGTGCGCTGTGTAACTTTTCCGGTGGAGGGTTTGTCAAATGCTTTTCTCTGGGGAGATGTTATTGCTTGGCCTTGAAATCTGCAGAGTGTGGCTTTAAAAAGGGTGTCAAACTCAGATTCACAGAGGGCCAAAAATAAAAACTGGGACTAAGTCGTGGGCCAAACTAAATATTTATTGAAAAATTTCAACAACATCTGCATGTCTTCTCTTCTTTCGAGATATGTAATGTTAAAACTTTTCTCATTAAAATAAACGTTTAATAATAGTTTTGTTTAAACATTGAATCCAGAACAAACATAATATAAAATAATAACAAAATTTTAAATAAATAATGTCTCTACAGTCTATCTGTAACAGACGGGCCAGCTCTAAAATAAATATAACATAATTATATCACGGGCTAAATTTAGCCCCTGGGCCTGAGTTTGACATGTCTGCATTCTGTTTTCATGAAGACCAAACCAGACCATGTTACAGGTCAGATCTGTGGAGAGACAACCCTGCTCACAGTCAGAATGTCTATTTTCCTAGGTATTTTTGAGCTATACAACCACTTGTAATTTAATAAATGTAAGGTTTAATGTCATACTGTGGAACATTCCAGACAGAGCAATAATGTATCCATAGAAACAAGCAGTGACAGACCTCCAGCAAAAAGTTACTTAAGGTCTGTTGTCATTTGTTGTCTGTTGTCAAAATAATGTAAACAGTGATTTCTCATGTTTTGTCCACCTGCAAATTTGTTAAAGTAGTATTACCACCCCCAAAAAATTAACGACAACATCCAAAATAATATGCATATTAAGATGAATAAAATATTAAAATATCATCTTTATATAATGCTGTAGAGGGAAAAAGCATTGGTTAAAAAACACCATATACTATCTTCATGACTCTACCTTGAATGTGAGGAGATCTCGCTGAGGTCTCCGATGCTGCCCTCGGTCACATGACTTGACAGCACAGCCGAGGCATATCCTTGAGGCAGATAGATTTTCCCATGATCCTCTTCACTGCCCCCGTCTTCGGACATCCTCTGGAGCAAGACCCGGGCCCCAGGAGCCACACAGGGGTTGGTGTCGATGCCGCTGTCTGTAGAAGCCCCCTTGATGTAGGTCAGTCCCAGCATCTCGGGGTCCATCAGGTCCCCGGAGCCGAAGTGCTTGTCATCGCTGTTACTGGAGGCGTTGCTGGATAGAGTGTTACTGCTGGAGTGGCTGGAGTTTTTGTCACCAGTCTGAGAAGAAAAATGACAAATATAGTTAACAAAAGTAAGCTTTATTTGACTTAATTATGGGCTATATTTTTATGTAAAAGAACAGCCCATATTGAAATTCCATGGTTATTTGATCGTAAAGGGAAGAAAAATCCACCACATTATCAAAGTTAACAAAGAAATAATTTACAAGTAGACAAGTCAGTATATATATATTAAATCAAAGTAAAAGCAAATAAAAAATTAAATCAAGAACCAAATTTTAAACTCCCCGATGATTGTCCTGGAAGAATAATCTGCCATATTAGCAAAATTCATAAACAAATAAGTAACAATCAAGTGCTGCCTAATATTTATTGATTGGCTATTATGATCAGGAGTCCTACTGGTCATCTACTTCCCAGTTTTCAGTTTACTTTTTTTTTTTTGCTTTCTCCTGATCCACTTAAGCCCTTTTATAATGTGTGGATATAGCGATGAGACTGAACAGTATGAGCCTAGTCACATTGTGCACCAACATCATGCATGAAGTCCATTAATGGTAATGTTTAGTTTTCTCTTCTCAACCTGCTTGTCTTACTGATTTTCCTGGAAGGTTCACAGTACGGCATTATTTATCTATATTGCATTTATTCTTTTACCTGTGTGTTTTTATTGATTGGCTCTGCAACTTGGCCAGTCAAGATTAACATCATACTCTGGAACATTCTAGGCAAAGAAATAAAATCTCCAGGAGGCAGACTTTCCACCATTATTTATTAATTATTACTGAAACAGAATTTTTATTATGCTATTTCCATGTGCAGTATTTTCTGAGCAATAATTAAAATGCACGAGTACAACCTTTGAATCTTCTATTATAATTGACAATATCATGAGAGCGCATTTTCATTATTGGTTTGAGAATTGGAAGCAAAATATGAGCAGGCCTAAAATTCAAGCGAGTTTTGCAAATGCCAAACAGTGACAGCTGAGCCCTGAATCAGAGGATTTCCAAAGCGACAGATTTTTTGGACAAAGAGAAGATCTGTTTGGGAAAAATCCAGGGCTGGTATTGTCAGTGATTCAACGGCTTTAAGAACAACTTCTAGCAGCTTAATAAAAATAAATCAGCCTTAAACTATATTGTCTAAATAAAAGGTATTATTGATGCAATTGCAGCTTATAAATAATATGCTGGTATTAAATAAATGCCAGTCTGAGTTATTATAATAAATGAATGCTAAGAAGCAAGTGGAAAGTGAAAATCAACTATATGTACATGACAAATTAGCAGAGTTGCAATTCAAAACAAAATATTATATTGTATGGTGAAAACATCCACATAGAGTAGCTAATAATAAAAAATATGTAGACCTATTATCACTACAACTTGTAAAAATGAAAAAGTCATGTATATCTAAAGGTATTTCCAAAGTATTATATGACCTTCAACTGCAAATTATGGCCCAAACACAGGCCTGTAGCCAAAGAAGTAAATGGTAATGAAAAAGAGTGACTACAATCTCAAACAGACTTCTCACACCTGCTTTATGCATTAGACCCAAGATATTTGCTACATCTTTATCCACAGGGCTGGGTTAATGCAACAGAATAAGTCTTTAAATTAAGTTGTTAGCCGCGTTTGCCTGCAGCCTTGATGGGGACAGGGGGAGGTGAAATGAAAAAGTCAAGCACTTAATTTATTCAACCTTGGAGGAGGAAGTGTCCTAGGGAAAAGTGGGCGACATCCAGATTCGGTGATGAGACGAGACGCCCGTTAGCATGCTGATGAGAGCGGCGAAGAAGGCCCCAACTGAGCTAATGATTACAGAATATGCACTAAACAGGAGCAATCTGAACTCAAGCTAATAAGACATGAGAGTATGGAGAGTTGGAAAGATTGTAGAATAAATGAATGGTAGCATTTAGTTACTTGGAAGATTTGAAGGGAAATTAGATATAAGGGAGCAATACTGATACTGACACAATGTTGTGTGCCTTGTTCTAAGCTGGAAATGGCTCTGTAAAATCTAATTTCTGCTACAAAAGATTATCTATGAATAATATGAGCATTTTTAGTTGGCTAATTCTGGTGATGCACAGCGGTGCAGCAGCTTCTCGAGCCCCCGGTGATCCTAGTAGAAAAAGCTATCGTAGAACCTATGGTTCAATACAGGTACAGACATTTAGTGCTACTGTTGTTCCATTGCCCGCAAATGTGAGAACAAGACTGAGCAGTGCAAGGATGTACCTGTGGCAAGGCAAGCCGCAGTCGAAACAGTGTTTAAAACTTAAAAGTGAGAACAGACCTGCTGTGCCTCTACTTTTCCTAGCAAATGTTCACTCTTTGGACAATAAGATGGATTTGTTAAAAAGCAGCCAGCACTGTAAAGAAGGTCCACCAGTACTTTTTGAGGAGACTCAAGGCTGCTGGACTAGGCCCCCAAGACCCCATCTCTTTTTATAGATGTGGGGTGGAGAGTGTGCTGACCCCATCCATCACAGTGTGGTATGGCCACTGCTCAACCCAGGACAGGAAAGATCTACAGCGTGTAGTGAGAATGGCATAGAAGATCATCGTATGTGACTTCACACCCATCAGTGACATTTACGAGGAGTGTTGCAGGAGACGGGCCTCCAGGATCATGAGGGACCCCCCGCACCCGTCCCACCACCTGTTTATCCCTCTGCCCTCTGGGAGGAGACTGAGGAGCATTAAAGCCAGAACATCTCGGCTGAGGTCCAGTTTTTTGTGAGGCTGTCAGACTTTTGAACAGTGCACACTAACACACCCTGTTCAGGCTGCCACTCTACATTACTACACGTTTTACTTGTACTTGTCTATTGGAATTTATCTCTTTTAATCACTGGCCTGAGGAACACATTTCGTTCTGTCATGTGTTTCTATAGTACCTTAATCGGAGCATAACCACTTGGATAAGTGGTGGGTATATGTCTGTGTTTGAGCATAAAGCTGCATTAAACATTGTTCACTGACAATGGCAATAAAACTTGTTTTCTGATTCTGATTATTCTTTCACGGCACCCTCAAAATGGCCAATGCCGATTCTTTAGAATAAAGAGAAACCGATGGCCAAAAAGTCCCCAAACCCCCCCCATATTTCCCCATTTTTGGTAACATGCAGAGCGCCCAAAAATATCTTGCTATGCTGGAGATTTAAAGCTGTGTATCTCTCCTCAAAAGTGTCAAGAAGTCCATCAAACAGTCATTACACTCCTACGGTCACAACTGCCCTAAATGTCAGTATTTGAACATTTACCCTGGACAGTTTGTTGGGCGAGTCCTTCCCTTCTCTCTGCTTCAGTGGGTTTAAGATCTTGGTGGAGGGGATGTGCCATTTCGCTTCTGTGGAGAAACCATTATAAAGATGATCACAGATGTTTCGCATAGGTCAAATGTTATGTCTGGTAATGTTATTAAAGTTTATAGGCCTTACCTGCAGATCTGGTTCTCTCCAGTGTGGGCTCTCTCTCGCGGTGCATGTCTCCATCGCCCCTCTGGATGTCCCCCGCGTGCTCGTGAAGGATAGGGGACGGACATCTGCAGATTAAATGAAAAAAGACAAAATGGATTAGGTCATCTTTTTCCACTGTCAATTCAAATGGTATGAGGACACTTCCAATGGGTTCACCACAGTTGTACAGCAATTAGCTCAAGATCATTTAAGGTTGAATGTCTTGAGCTCATAATGGAATAAAAGGGTTGCCAGACAGGGCTGACAAAAGACCCCCTTTTTCATACACACAAGGCATGCCAGGCTCTTTCAATTGCGAGCCTTTTCTTCATTTTTAATTAGAGTCCCAGGGTTACACTGCCTGAACCAGGGCCAGAATCTGTTATGTTCGATTACAATTGCTGTGCTATTATTTCTAAATGTGTTGTAGATCCATGGGCTTTTTGTCAATTTGCCCATAAAGCTATAGAAAGGTTTATTGAGCAAAATGTCCAGTACATTTTACTTGCATTTTTAGATAACTATTTTGGCTATGTAATCCCTTATGCCATAAATATTTATCTGCCACTTGCTTGTCCCAATGGAGATGTTATTGCTCGCTTTGCCTGGAATGTTCCAAAGAATGGCATTAACCTTATCTATGCTGCATGTATTCAATAAAAGTGTTTTTATTGCTCAAAAACACCTTGAAAAACATGCCTTCTTATAGTGAGCAGGGTCACCCCTCCACAGATCTGACCCGCAAATTAGCCTAAAGAAATAACATCTAAAAAGAGACAAGAAAGTAACAAAGTGCACCTTCAATTAACAAACTCGTAAAGAAATAAATAGTTTCAAATATAACACATTGTGATAACTTTTAATCGAGAACTAGTAGACCCAATCATAAGTGAAATATTTGTCTGTACACAAATGAGGTCAAACAATATTTTGGAGTGAAATGAACTTGTCAGCTTTCCCAGTGCTTTGACAGGGTGCAGAGTTCATTGCACTTTGGAGGCCACTGACAGAAGCGTGCTGGAGCAGAGCTAAATCTCTTGTCATGGTCTGTAAGCACTCAGACAGGCAGCGCTCCTATGGGCTCCTTTCATGTACTGACAGATGGTGTGCAGTCAGCAAACTACAATGCCCTGCAAACCATTAGGACATTAAAAAGTGTGGGATATGCAAGCTCGCATGGTACTGATTAATAGCATATGGCTTCTTATATAAAGAAACAAATGAATGTGCAAAAATGTAGTAAGTGATAAAGGCTGTGTTGACAAAAAATACATGGCTCACTGTATATGCCAAACACACCACATGCACTCTTTGTACTTGAATCTACTGTCATTGGACAAAAGAAATGAATAATATAAATGATTATGTTACAGATTTGATATGGTTTATAGTTGATGAAAACACATTATATACTGTAGCTACAGCTGTGCAGTCACAACAGATGGCACAACCTTTTATGCTTATTAACTGAACTGAATAATGATTTGCTATATAATAAACATCTACCTATACCTATTAAACTTTACACACAAACTAAATATTTGATAAATGTTCGCTAGTTAACTTTAATGCCATACTGCAGATCATTCCAGTCAAAGTAATAGCATATCCATGAAGAAAAACAAATGACCTCCCCACTTTAAACCAGTACAACAGAGAGGCAGACAAAATATGCATGTAAATGACACAAAATTACACTTCTTGACTTGTTGCATCCCTAAACCAGTAGTAAACATAAACATAATCAAAACTGAGTTGCTTTTGTAACTCGCAACTTTGCTTTTCCCAGCATAGTCAAACTTTATTCTACACAAACAGGATGACTAAATTGGCAAGTAAATGTTAAAAATAACTAAAAACACCATTTGTATTTGCTGTCCTTAAGCCTAAACATAAATGGAAGATTGTTCAAATGGCAAATATAATGACAGACTTTTTTGCAGATTGGTCTAGCCTTTCTTTTGGGTGGTACAAAAAGGTGCGATGATGACTAATCATATGGCCATTTGGGGTGGAAAAGATTGCTGTCATTTTGTGAAATTACAAGTTCTTTGTAGCAGATTGAGGCTGATTGAAGCAGCTTTCATAACAGTAAAACCACAAATTTTCTTTAGGGGGGAAAAATAGTTGGTGTTATTTTAAAATGTACATTGACGTTGTGTGTTTGCCTCACCCGTCATATCCGGGCTGTTGGGACCACGAGCTGCTGCTGCCACATGGGCCTGGGTCACTGGAGGAGGATTGGTTACTGGGAGAGCTGCGATAGTGCTGGTCCCCTTTGTTACATGAGGACACCTGTGGGTTCTCCAAGTCCTGCATGGTCCTGCAAAGATGTAAACAGTAAAAAAGTATTTAAAGGTCCTATATTACACAAAATGGATTCCCGAGAGCTTTAAAGTCATTTTCAAAAACATACCTGGAATTGTGTTTTGTTTTATTCACACATGTTTGAGAATGCATTTATTATTAGTCTGTCTATAACCCCAAAGCTCAAAATGCTCTGTTCCACGTTGTGATGTCATGTAGCAGTAGTTGTCCAGCTACTTTTTACCTATATTTCGGTAGAGATTGGCAGTTCCAGGCCTGAAATCATCCAAATGATTCTAGTGATGTATAGATATGCACATCCTGTATTACCACATGACATCACAAAATGGAGACTGGAGTGTTTTCTGTTTGAGAGAATGAAAAAAACACAACTCCAGGTATGTTTGTGATGAGATATGAACCCTTTAATACAAGAGCCCATTAGAAAGGCGTACACATTTTTGAGCATTGACAAGTGAATAAATTTTTCATTAAACCACCTGTTTGCCGCTGAAATAACATGCGAACAGGTGATTATTTATATATTAAATGAAAATATGCAAATGTAAGAATTTGATGATTGTGGTGGGAATCTTTGGACATTTTTTTATCAAGGACAAATTAAAAGATTCTCAAATATTTCCAAAACCTTAACTATTTATTAAAAATGGTCCAGGGCAGGAAAAACAGTGACGAGTTTCAATCACATATAAAGTAATTGGATAAATAAAGTTCCGGACAAAATTACTGATACAAGACATAAAAGGAAAGAAAACTGAATTTTAATAATGACTTTTATTTGTTCGTTTTTATATAAATTTATGTGGTAAGTGAATTATGCATAATATTAGCAGTGTAATAATACCTTCAGACTGTACAAACCAAAAAGATAATTCCACAAGATAAAGTCACACAATATAAAACACGCCTCAAAAATAAATAACTGAAAGCAATATCGGACGACGAGTTCAAATGTCACAGTGAAAACACAGACCGAACCCACTCTCATATAAATATTTGTAAAGTATATTTATTTTCTTAATTTATCGGACCTCAAGTGTATTTATAAGTTTCCATTGGACCTGGGTTTGATTTAATATCGAGAGGCAGGAGGTTTCTTTGCTTTCTTTAGCTGGTCTGAGAAAGTCGCGTACGGCGTTGGAGAGTGAAAAATAAACAGAGAGAGTTGGAGTTATGTCTGCTGCTTAGAGGAGGCTGTAACTGGGATCTGGTCTAACGCATGTCTGATAGCTTTTACATGAGGCATTCACAAATCCAGAAGCCAGACTGGTTACTCTTTCATCTTATCAGTCCACTGTTTGTTTAGATAATGGGGATGAGATGTGACTGGGGGAAGGCGGTTGAAAAATGTGTACTGTATTTTAAGCGAGGGCTGTTTGTTTAATCTAGCAGATAGATTAGAAGGAAAGAAGATAGAAGGAAAACAAACTGATACATGTTAAAAAGAAAACAAAACATACCAACAAATGCTTCTACTATAACTGCTAACACTTCAACTTTCAATACAGTTTATTGAATACCATTGAAACATGCAAATACATGGTGAGAAAAGTGGTTATTTGAGTAAATCCTGTGAGAAAAATCTGTACTTTGTTTTAAGATCAGTGTGTTTGGATTGGTTACCTGACAAATGAAATATAAAATACCACTGAATATCGCTAAAACTACTACTACTACTAAGGTGAAAATGTTTAGTTAGGATTGTTTTTTTTCCAAGTTAGCTTCAGTAAGTGTCCTTAAAGAACCTTGTGGCCATGTAAATGTGACCAATTACGTTCAACATCTGGATCTGATCTGAAGCATTATGTCAGAGAGGGGAAGAGGCTGGCCATAGACAGTAATTCTGATTGACAGTATTGACCCAGTAAGGGTGTGGCAAGAACTTTTAAGCTTTCACTGGTGAAGAAGCAATTACTATCAAGTTTGAAATCAGATACAAAATTGTGTTTATAAAGCAATTTTGTATGTATATAGCACTGGCAAGTTTATATAACAAGTGAAAACACCATTGGTATACTGTTTCATAAAACCACTGGCTTATACTCACATTTTTCTATAGCGCTTTTCCATCTTCACGGCACTCAAAGTGCTTTACATCAAGAAACCACTCACCCATTCAAACACACACACTCATACACCAGTGTACGCAGACACAGGGGTGAAGTGGGTTAAGTGTCTTGCCCAAGGACAGAATGACAACCTACATTTGTGGAAGCTGCAACCACACCACCAATGATGCAGATGCAGACTTGCTGCTTATGCACCGCCTTCTTTCTTGGAATTCTGTTATTGTTTAATAGGGTTTGGTACTTTTTCTTCAGCTTGGACCCTTTCTGTCATGATCCATGTAGTTGTGGATTATGTTTTGTTTTTGTTTTGTAGTGCTGCAAAATGACCCAATAAAAAAAAAAAAAAAAGGATTTACACCACTGACCTGTGATGACCGTTATACTAATGAGAGTGGGATTCAAACATCCAACCTTCGGATCACTCCTACTGAGCTACTGTCGCCACGTTTACATTATGCCCACTACACAAGATGTATATAAAGACATTTGCATACAAACCTTTTCAGTTACATACAGCACTAATAGTCCGAGGATGATTGAAAGTACTGAGATTCTGACGTCTTGTTCTCAGTGCAATCACCTACTGTATTATAATCAGCTTCCCTTTCATACACTTTAATGGAAAACCTGCTAAACTGCCAGTAACTCAATCCCTGTTCACATCGTCAAACACTTTGGCCACTTCGGTACATTTCCTCTCTTTGGCTCGAGTGTTGAATGTAAAACAGCCCCAGATGCCTTTTGTTCCTCTTTGCTCCGATCAGAAGAAAATGTAAGGCGCAGTGGGGATATAATTTCTCTATGAACTGCAATATGTGAGTTTAGTGAGTTTGGAAAAGCAACAGTCTGTGCTGAGGAGACGGCACTGAGGTCAGTTTGAGGGCATGGTTGGGAGGAAAGCAGTAAAACATAGGAGCTGATAAACAAAAAAATAAGAACATAACTTAAAGAGAGAGAAGCAAACACTTATATGTACTCAACATAAGTCATATAGTTTATTCTGTTTTCCAAAACGATAGAGAACGGTGTTGTTATTCAGTGTCTCTAAATGTTAGTCTACGGAATTCTGCTACTGCATTAAAAACAAGTTCACACATACTCTAAAATGTGACAACAATTAATTCACACTTTTAATTTTTGTTGCATACTAGGTGTGATATTTGGTCTATCTGCAACAAAAAGACAGTACTTACAAGGCCCTTATAACTCTATTTTCCGATATATATTATACACTATGTCCTCATCAAAAACACACTTATTTAGGCTGAATTCTTCTCTCAAACGGAAAACAGTCTATTAAACCTTGTGATGTCATGTGGCAATACAGGAAGTGCTCCACTGTGTTTTTAAACTCCATATACCTTCACCAGAATCATTTGGATAATTCCAGTCCTGGATTGACAATTTCTACTGAACAAAAGATAAAAAGTAGCTGTTAAACTGAAAACTACTGCTTCATGACATCCTCATTCTGTGTAATTTGGGACCTTTAACTGGTTAAGCAGTTTTTATTCATGGCTCCATCTTTGAACTAATTTAAACTTCATCTAAATTTGAAACTCACTGATTTTATTTGTCAGAAATATATCTTGATAGCTTTATAACTTCATGGTAAGAATCAGTTTTTAAAATCCATGCACCAACAAATATAAAAACACCCTTATTTATAGCCAGTACTGATCTGATTTGCTTCTGTGTAATATTCAGACCACGTCTCCTCCTGCCTCTCCTGCCTCTCCAGTTTACAGTGTCTCCTCTCAGAGCAGCCCTCCACACACGGCTCTGCGTCCCCTGGGCTGCTCCATATTGTGGTCTGAAGAGGGGAGAGCGCTCTTTGTTTCTGTAGTAATTGGCTGAGATGTGTTGAACCATGTCACTGTCCCCAACTCCACCTCGGAAGCAGCAGGCGGTGGGGACGGAGACCAAGATGAAGCTGCGAAGTCTGGTTATTAGACAGGCAAGGCGGCCATTATCCTCCAACAAGCTGATATGGCAGCAAAGAGGGGAGGGGAGGGAGGGGGAAGGGGGATGACACACTGGAAAGGTTATCACGACTGCTGGGGTTTCATTAGAAAGAACAAATCACCGCGATGAAGATGTCCGAAAGAGTGAGAGAGTGAAAGAGGCGGAGAGAGTTGAAATATTATCCTGGGCGATCATCTAACAACTGATAAATGCGATGGTCTGGATTCATTGGCTCAAAATGCAACATACATTTATGCAAATAATCAAAAGGATAATGGCACTCAAACAATCACAGGCCCTTTTGGAAAATGAGCTCTAAAGACGTTGCATCTCAGTCGAGTGTTTGGTGTGGTCGGATACACCGCTAGGCTAGTCACTTTAAAATTCAACCTTGAGCAACAGGCGTGACTTTGAGAAGTGTGGCAGTGTTTTTATTATTCATCCTCCTTCTGATATAGTAGATATTTAAGTACAAATATATCTTTCCGGTTCTTCCTAAGGCATTCATGCTGGAGAGGTAGAGATCGCTAATAATATTTTAATTGTAGGACAGCCCCAGTCCCCTTTTGGTTTTGACAAAAATATCTGTGTTCCTGTTTACTAATTCAGGTTAATATACCCTGGCCCTTCCTGGCAAACCTCGCTGTGCACTCAAGCATTGACTATTTATACATGCAGAAGCAAACTGAATATTTAAAAGCAGTGATAAAAACAGTGAATGAATTGTGGGAGCAAAAGCACAAGAGTCTGTCATAATGGTTGAAGGTTTAATCCCACCTCCAACCAGTACATCACCCTATGTCCTTGGGCAAGACACTGAACCCACAAGGCCTCCAATGTCTGCAAACTCTGCATATGAATTATGATTATGAAAAGGCCTTTGAATTCCCCAGTGAAGGTGGAAAAGCGCAATATAAATACAAATGTAAACTAAGATTGTTAACCATTTGGCATAGAACCTATTTTTATTGTACTAGTAGTAGTAGTAAAATTTGAAGATTTGAAGTACACATTGTAAACATACCTTGATCCATCAGGTAGCTTCCTATCAAAAGAGGTGCTTCTGGGTATGCCTCCCTGGTGCTGCTGTAGGATCTGTTGGCACTGCAGTCTCTCGGGCCCTTGGGTGGGAGAGCCTCGAGACAGCTGGGGGCCCCCGGCTGTGGGCATACGGTGCCATGTAGTGTTTCTCCTGAAGGGGGTCTTATACTCGCAGGGCGTCCCCTCACTGTCCACTTTGTACTCCACCATTGGGATTCGGTACAGCTCTGAGCAGCCCCTGGGAGAGACACAAAAAGACACATGGCTGTAGATAAGAATGTGGACAAAGCATTTATTTATGAATGCCTGGTTACAAGATGTTACAAGCAAGCAAAGACAAAAAATGTTGGTTAAACTAAAGCAGTGTTTCTCAAAGTACCATCTATGACAATATGAAGTTAGAGCTTAAAATGGTCAAAGCTGAGACTAAACCAGGTCTAAAATGAGACTATATGTGGTTACAGTGCAGAGAACCTTGCGTATCACCAGAGGCAGCCCGAGTAGCCACAGTGGTCCACAGTTTGTGCAACACAGAGTTCTGGATATCACTTTATTACATTAGATAAGAGTAAACAGATAATACAATCAACTTAACAATGTCATCATTAATGCAGGAAAATATAACACAATCAATATAATATCAAGTTACTTCAAGTGAACAAGCAAAATACTTGGCAACATTGCAACTACTTCCACAAATACACCAGTGTCTGGATAACAGCCTATTGTTCACTACTTTATTATTGTCATGGTGATTGTGTTAGCTTCAAGCACCAATTTGAACAAAATGTTATACCTTTTCTGTTTATGTACTTGTTACTCTTGACTATATGACTTTTGTTTCTCAAATTGGAATTGAAAAGTATGCAATGGGGGCAAGTCAGGTTTAAATGTTATGCAACTTAAAACTAAAAGATAAAAATATTACATCCCGCTAGGAGACCCACTACAACCACTGCAAAATATTGCTAACAGCACATAACTTACAAGCAATAAAGGGCAACAGCCAGACTAGGGCCTGAATTGCAGCAGTTTGACAACAAAAACACAAAACCCCGTTAGAAACATTTAGCCAGGGGCACACATCTACATTCTATAACCCTGATAGCTACAAGTACGCCTTGAGGAGACAAGCTTACACTCTAATACATCGGGGGCTTATAGAGGCACTAGACAGATACTTAGATTTGAACCCACTGTCTCCCGTTATTCAAATAAAGCCGAAAATCTTGGCCTGACACTTAATCAGATATGAGTCTCCCTTGAGCAGGTCTACACAGGAGGGGGGGTGGGATTTTGCCCTACCCCGCTGGTGCTGTGAGGGTCTCTGGGGTGGACAGGGGCCTACAGTGCTATTTCATGCAACATTAATCATTGGGGCGAAGGGGAAGAGTCTCATATAAGCTGTGATAGAGAGGGGTCTTGGAGGGCAGTGCTGATGGCTCAGGGTTAAACAGCCACAGAGATCTCAGAACTATCTGAAGCATGACCCATAAGATTAGGCTGCCCTGCCCCCACACAATGCACTTTACTGGAATGATGGGAGGGGGACTAGGTATGCTCTCTTCAAAGCAACAGTTAAAAGTAAAAGCAGCAGTTGACTAACTCTGGCACATTTACACTCTCTAAACATGTTAATTTAATGTACACTGTCCCATATTGAATACAACAAATAAATACAAATAAAAAAATGCATAATCATAACAATCACGCCACAAATGATCAAGTTTCTGTTCTCTTTTTGCCACTCCCCAAGCCCAGATAAGCTACAGGGATATGCTGATATAAAACCCCCAAATTTAAAATCATTAGGCTGGCATGGTGGCTAGCCTTTCTGTGTGGAGTTTGCATGTTTCTCCCTGTGTCTGGATGGGTTTCCTCCTGGCCCTCTGATTTTCCCCATCAACCCAAAAAACATGCTACATAGGTGTCCAGGAAGAATAGCTGATAGCTGAAGGCTAAGGTCAATTAAACAATCAATCAATGAACCTGCCCAGGGACTACAGGTGGAAATTAGCACTGGTGCTACAACCTGGTACAATGCATCTCTCCTGTTAAGGTTAATGTTGATTGTGCACTGTCCCTGTCTCACTAAATAAATAAACTATAAAATAAACTATAAATTAATTACATTTACTGCCCAAGTGAAGGAATGTCCCACATTACAATTTAAAATTTGAGATTTCCAATCATTGTAAGACAGTTGTCACAAATGGAACAGAAATCATAATACTGATATGCCCCTAGAAGAGAAATGCTGATAGTTGGATGTAGATATGGTAATATTTTATAGACCCCCCAGGAATTTTATTTAAAGCAAAGCGCTGAACATGCAAAATACACACAAAAAAAGCAAAACAGAAAAACTCAACTCATCTGTACATATCATTACTAAGACACAATTAATAACCCTCTTATTTACACATATTTAAGTACAGTGAACCAGAATTTACTCCACACTTGCTGATTGATAAGACCACCCATGCCGAGGCGTACACGTTACACTATGGACATCCTCATAGAGTCCTTTTCAACAAACTAGGGCAGAGGAGGCTGCTGTTTACTCTAGGTGTCCCATTGGGGAAGAGTGTGTTATAAGATCTAAGTACTCTGCCTCCCAACGACTCCCCCTGCCCACCCGTCCCACCTCCTCTGCAGCATCTCACACATCTGCAGAGCGCGTATGTGCTAGACCTGCCCTTGATGGAGTGTCCACTGTGCTCTACATGTCCCTGGTGTTCACATTAATTATTTACTGAATGTCATGTAGTGTATGTTATATGCATGGCTGGGCTCATATGTGGAGCAGTGTACGTAATGAGGAGGGCCAGTGTACATTGTACAACGAATGAGTTTGTTTGTATTGCAAGAATTGACCCAAGTAGGGTTACAATGTATGGTATAAGATTAGATAAAGAGCATAGTTACATGTTTAAACTTGGCAATGGCCTTTTCTACGGGGTCCATGTGTCCTCTACATTGCAATAGTTTTCATTATTTAATGTTCTTTTTCCTCAATGACATTTTTGTAAAGGAGAAATTGCAGCTTGAAATGATTTGAATGAGTAACAAAGGGTGTACCCTGGCAACTGGATGAAGTAGCTGGAATGTGTTTCTTATAAATAAATCTATAATAAAACAAGAAAACAAACCATTTCTAATATAGGGATAACATTTCCATATAAATACAATACTGGGGATTAGAAAAGACTATTAAAAGCTTACTGTTTGTTTTCATGTTTTGCTTTTAGGCACTTACCAAAGGGTTGTAAGTATTTTAAGGCTTCTCCCAGTGGGGCTGTATGCTTGCATGTGTATGTTTGTTTTCTTTCCCACACTAAAACAAATATCAGTATTCAAGTGTTGTGAAACCACTAGGGTAAAATGTCCTGTTTTAACGTCTACATGTGAGAAGTTATGGCTTTTATTACTTAATGCAGAGCAGTTAACATTACAATGGACACTACTGATGGGTACTTCAATTCCCAACGATGGTGAGAACACAAAATTGCCCCCTTGGGAGATTAAGACTAAGATAACGTTGTTTTTTTTGTCCAATTCTAGTTTTCCTGGTTTAGTCCTGGTTTAGTCCTGGTTTAGTCCTGGTTTAGTCTTAGTCTAATATATGTTAAGTTTCTGGGTTAAATCTTTGTTAAATCCCAATTTTCATGTGGTGTCTTTGATTCCATGCCAATTAAACTTCTAATGCTTGCCTTAACTGAAGCAAAAGAACTATTTTGTTTTTAAATAGGTCATATATTTGAAAAACTTGACAATAACTGTAAACCGTGCCATGATCTGTGATAAAGACTAACAAGAAAAAGCACAGATTCATTAAGGTAATAAGTTTGAATAGAAATACCGCTACCCACTATTAACATTTCCTATAAAGTTGTTTTTGCTCCAGCAATCATGGTCATTTCTTTTATCTAATTGGCTGAGAAATGTCCCTTATTATTTCCTATCATTTGGTAACCTCGGTGTCACATATCGGGAAGCTAATTAGCTGTTAGCCCCTTGACCGTCGCTCCATTGGTCTTGGTAACAGGCCTGTGAACGCTCTCATTACCTTGATTAACTGTGTGTACGTGGGGCTGCCAGGTTGCCACACACTATTAGACCCTGGATGGGCTAAATCCACATAACAGCTTGTCAACAGCAAAGGTCTCCGATGCTCTCCCTCGCTGTGCTTTTTCACTACAATGAGGCAGAAGTGACAGGCTTAAGTTTCTCCACTGACCTTAATAATATTTCCCTGTGCCCTTAATGATTCAAAGGGAGTAGTGGGTAGTTGTCTTAAACCAGGAGTGATAATGGGGTAAGCACAGGTCCTATCAGAGACTTTATCAAGGCCAAAACAGGTCTGATGGACTGAAGGACTAAACCAGGTCTAAACCAGGACTATTCAGGTCAAATATTCAAAACAGGACTAAACAAGCATTATAAAAATATATATCAGTGTTGATTAGAGAATATTATATTAAAATGCTTTGATCAATGAATAAGTGGAAAAAGTTGACATAATATAGGGATGTAACAATAACCAAAATATTGTGATATCGCATTGTCAAAGTTTTCACAATAATATCGAATTACAAGTCTCTTTGCTTAAATTAAGAGTTATGGTGCAGCAATAGCTAAAATAAAAGACAGAGGGAACTACATAAACCATGATCCTTTGCTCCATTTCAATGTAGACTACATGAAGAAATAACAGTTTTAAGTACTTTTAAGTCATAGTTCTTTGGATTAAGTCTTGTCAAGGCATTTTAAGAGGAAAAAAATAGCATATTAACAGTTTTAGTACCGTACCGTGAGATGTATATCGTGAAAATATCGTACCGAGAAATTTGGATATTGCTACGTCCCTAATCGTGAGCCTCCCCTCCATATCGTGAGCTTTCCCATGATATTGCAATAAATATTGTACTGTGAAGTTCATACCATGACAATATCATATTGTAAGACTTAGATATTGTTACTCCCCTAATAATACATATTTATAGTAATGTAATTATTTTTGAATCACTTTGTCATGTAACTTGTCTATCTTACATGTATTTCATTGCATTATTGCTCAAAAACATTAACATTGGGAGAACACTATTACTGTGAGCAGGCTTGCCTCTCTATAGACCTGACCAGGAGGCATCACTTATCTGCCAGTCCACATAGAGATAGATGAGTGGCAAAGATGACTTTTGTTTAGAAAATCCAAGTATATAGACAGTAAATATGTAACTGAAAAGACTATGACAGGAAGAAGTATTTTGAGGAGCTTTACGAGTGGACCTGTTACAGTCTGAAAACAACTTTCACAGACTAGGATGCGTCTAATGGCTATAAATCAAAAGGTAAGAGCAAGAAATGACCAGCAACAGATAAACCTGTAGACCTGACTCTTATTGTGGCTCTTATAGTGGCTCTTATAGGGGTTATTAGCTGAAAACGAAAACTGGAAATGGGTAGAAATTACAGGGCAATGGCAGCTTCTTTTCCTTTTCTTCCCACCACTGCAATCTCTGGACTGAACACAACAGCCTATAAATTATACTACAATGGCCTACATAAAGTTGTCCTAGAAGGAGCACTACCACTCAACATCAGTCCACCAACATGTGGAACATTACATATGGTCAGATCAAAACATGAGCCTCTTAAATGTAATATTCAGTGGGTTTTATATCACTGTCCTTTTATCTAATGTCATGGAACTACTTTAACATGACCAATGATAAAGAATAAAGTTCATAATTAAATTATCACAAAAACTCAACCTCACATAAAAAAACAACACAAACAAACAAAAAAACCCAGAAGTTAGGAAATGTTAAGACAATATTTACACTTTAGATGTTTTCAAGGAAGAAATCTTGAATAACTAACGATTAATTAATAGGGGTTGTGGTTTTCTAGCTTAATGTTGTAGTAGTCATTTATTTGGACTTTATTTACTCAAAAAAAATTAGCCTATTGGCAATTGCTAAATACAGACATCACCAATATTAAAATCACTATCATAACCAAATATTGTATGTTGTTTCTACCAAATTTCTATGGCTAAAAATAAGTAACTTACTAGCCTGAACATCTTACTCAGCCTTTTTTTCCCCTCCTGTGACCTTTAACCCCAAACTGGTGAACTGTCACTTTGATGACCCGTCCGCAGAGTGAGTGACACGTTTAATCCATTCACGAGTCTCAGCCGCAGCCAAAAGCTTCTGAGGTCAAACCATTGTCCTTGCTTCCTTTAAGTCCTCTGTATAGGTTTTCACTGGGGAAGACCCAAGGGTTATTTCTATACAATTGATTTGACAGAGCAAATGGTACGGTAAAGAATGGGTAAAGATTCAATTGTTATGATGGTTAGCTTTGTTTAGCAGTTGGCCACTTTTTCTTTGACGCTGTGGTTGCTTGGGAAGTGAGAAATCTGGTTTAGCTGCGGTTCAGATGAGAATGAGTAATGACAAGTCTGATGACACTTCAAAAGCAAAGGTCACACAAGGCAGTCTGACATCACACCAAATACTCATTATTTAAAGAGCTACGCTTCAACATGTACAAATATAGTCTTCATTTCTCAAACTGCATTGTTATAAAGCAGTAATGTGATACTTCCTTTGGCAACAACCAACATTAGAAAGTATGAAAAGGATCTATTAAAATGTAAGAAACAGATAATATTTAATTTGGGATCAAATTTTTAAGCAAGCAAAAAAAGGATGAACATGAACTTTAAACTGTGACTATCTAGTAGGTCAATCTAACTTGTATATCATTTTAACGGTACACTATGTAACTTTTCTCTAGGAGGAGTCTGCTACCTGCTTTTCTCTCTGGATATGTTATCGCTTTATCTGCAATGTTCCACAGAATGGCATTAAACTCAGTTAGAACTTATTTAATAACATTACTACAAGAAATACACTGAAAAACACATTTGTACTGTGAGCTGATCTGACCTGCAACTTGGCTTGGTCTCCACAGAGATTGATAAGTTGAATGCCATACGGTGGAAAATATTAGGCCAGGGGTCTCCAACCTGTAGCTTGGGAGCTATCAGTAACTCTCCACCCCTTTCCTAGTAGCTTGCCAAAGGATTTCTGAATTATACACATTGCACTGAATGACTAAAATTTGATGAGCTTCCATTCATTGTAAAAGTATCATTCTGATGCCTAACTTTGCGCACTAATAAATGGATAAATGTTTCTGTTTTATAGGTATATCACTGTTCCCCATCTGAGGTTTTCCTAATTTCCTAAGGTTTTCAATTTCTTGTGACTCCTAAAATTAGTTGCTCTTTGGTATTTTCCTTTTGAAGAAAGAGGTTGGAGACCCCCATTTTAAGCAAAGCAAAAACATCCGCATAGAGACAAGCAGGTGTCTGACCCTCCACCAGAAAAGTTACACAGTGCACCATTGAGATTTATCAATGGCAAGGATAAATTTGATTGGATATCTCATTGGTGTCTTAAATTCAATGATTAGTTATGATATCTAAGTTTAAATATACTCTAAAGTTGTGGTTTTATTGCATATCAAAATTGAGCTTTTATGTGCACACCATAATTGTAGCTATATTCATTAAAATATTTCTTTGCCAACTGGTTTTAGCTTATGTTCTCGTTCTTGGTACTACATTCTAACACACGGGAACCATGGCTTTGTGTCCTCATCATCGTCTTTATGTCTTGTAATGATCAACCCCTTTAGCCCGATCTTTTGTTTACTCTACATACCTCAGATGACCATCCCTTTAACCACAAGCCAAACAACCAATCACTGCCATGTTCTGCACATCACATTCTTGTTTCGAAGCACAAATCTCCCTCATCCTTTTCTCATTAGATTGAATCAGTGAACATGTTGAACTGGTTTAAAGCTCTTCAATGTAATGATGAAGAGGGCCTTGGTACCGCATTGGGCTAAACCACATCCTGCTGCCAGTGTAAATAAAGACAGGGCAAGGTAAGGTGAAGCTAATATTAGAGCGATAACGCTGCTACATGTTCATAAAATAAGTTTGTAGAGCTGAAGAGACTTCAAGAACTTAAATACATAGCTGGTCATAAACGCCCTTCTTGTAGTTCTAGGGTGAATTCTCTGTGCATGATCAAAAAGATAGCAAGCATTTTTGTCTTCATTCAAGTAGGATCAATAGAGGCTTTTGATTAAAAAACAAACAAACAAAAAAAGCAGATTGATTTATCTCACAATTACACATTTCTGCACTCTGAAAATAATGCAAAAACACAAAAAAGTAATTAATTGAAGTATTTTTTATCTTTTTATTAATGAAATTTTGGTGCTACACTTATCACGCAAATACATCATTAATTTCTTCCAATTTTGACATGACAGCTAATATTTTTGTGAATAGTTCAAAATCCAACCCTGTGTGTATTTTATGATTTGATTTGATATTTATGTTTTAATAGGATTCATGAAAGTTTAGTTTTTAAGCAATAACATTTTAATATGAAATTATACCTTTTCAGAATTTCTGAATATATTTGTAAGAGTATAAACTACAAGGTTAGCAAGTTTTATAGAGAATAAGACAAGATATTTTTGTTGTATGCAAAAATGTTACTTAAAAACTGAAGTATTTATAAATGCCTACTTCCAATTGCAATTCTGATTCTACTGCAGCTCTAACTACCAGCAACAAAACTCTTGAGAAAGTATATGACCTCCTAACATACAAGCACATGCGCTGAATCACATAAATCTTTTACATGGTGAACTATTTTGTAGTTCATTATGAAAACATGCAGCCCTATATCTGCACACTGCATGAGTTTATGAAAACATTTCTTCCTGTCACGACGCTGTGTGAAGCCGGCTCTCTTTGTCTGGAGGTCATGGGACGCTTGTCATTGTTAAACAGCTAACCCCCATCTCCTCTGGCCACAGGGGACTGCAGGCCAGGCCTTCAACACTACTGAATTCCTTTCCTTTGAGGTAACAGAGAAGAAACTCAAGCCCTCATTGTTGACTGCAAAACACTTTAGCAACTCAAAGACGCAACAGTGAAAACCGGTGGAGGGCTCTCGAGATTTTTCAGGTGAACTTTGACCTGTGGGTTGGTGGGAGTCTTGGGAGAAAATTCGCAGATCTAAAGATGGAGAATGGTGAAGCTCTTGAGACTGGGGTGGGAATGTTTTGAATCCAGAAGGGGATCTCCCAGTAGTGTTTGGCACAAATGAAGGTCTTTTAGGCTATATAACTCATTGTGCACTTTCTGTATTAATTCAAAGCATGGTTAAACGTAAAGGACAGGGTAAGGAAGAACCTCCAGTGTGAAGCAAGTACCAAATTAAATGCACCTTTTTGTGGAGTGTACAGCACCTGCTACTGATGTTATTGCTCTTCCTTTATTGTTCCACAGTACAGCATTAAACTTACATTTCTCCATGGAGAGAAGAAAGTGACGCCCCCATGCCAGATCTGTGGAAAGACAACCCCACTCATGGTAAGAATACATGTTTTGAGCAATAAACATCTGTAATTAAAAATGCTGTGGAACATTCCTGGCAAAGCAATGACATCTCCTTGGAGACAAGCAGGTGGCAAACCCTGTTACCAGAAATGTCACAAGGTGCAACTTTAATGTGAAAATTACAGTCTATAAAGTTGTCTTCACACTCAACCTAGTTTTGCTCCAATTTAGTTTTGATGATGTTGACCGTGTTTGGATCTCTTCTAATCCTGGCTTAGTTCTGATCTAGGCTGTGTTAAATTTCTAGTTTAGTCCCAGTTTAATCCCAGTTTAATTTAATAAAGTTTTGATGAGAGCCTATAAAGGGAAATTTTATTAGTTAGAAAAGTGGTAGCTACAGTAAAGATCAACAATACCAAGCGCTATGTTCTCTTTCTGTAATACCTACTAATCTTCTGCATGCATCTGTCAGTAAACACCATATATATATATATATAGGCCAAGCTCAGTCCATAAAGCACAAAGCCTCATGCAATCCATTATAGACAGCTACCGCATGATCTAATGCACTGTTTGGCACAGTGCAATGCTGTGATGTGCACCTGTAAATAACCTATATATAACCACAAAGTGATACGCTGCTTGTACTGTTCATGTGAGAAGGGAATGCATTATATGTGCTTATGATGTTACTTTTGTGATCTTCTTAAAAATCTGCCAAGTGCTATTGCACTAAACTCCTTTACAAGCTTCACAATAGTATCCAAGCCCCCTCTCCAAATCTCCCCACCCATAGTTACTCTTTGAAGGCTGCAGACACAAGTTCAGAGACATCGGAGTAAATTTTGAAGGATGTTTTGTTTGCCTTTTGCGATTATGATGGTATCAGTGAACCATCAGTCCTAAGAGGATTAAGCACTGGTTGTGCCAGAGAAGCTGCTGTGCTTCAAAGACTGAGCCTGTCCGTCCACCATCTGGAGAAGTAAATAAATACGACACGACTGTTGCCGGGGGAAAGCGCAAAGTTCACAGACAGTTGCGCACACTTTGTTTGACATGTACAACAATCACACATATTATTGAGCTCCGTTATAATCATAGTAATGCACTGCTGCTTTCCAGATGCTCAAAGTTGCTTCTAATTTTGTGTATTGTTGAATCACTCTTTACCTGGTGATGGTTACTGTTACGGTAATCTGCTAACCTGCCCCGTTAGACCAATGTAGATTGAACACCAGAACATATCAACCAAGGTGTTGTTTTGGAGATATTCTGAAATACCTGTCCAGACTATTTCCTAGACAAAATTGTCCAGTTTGTCCTTCATATAACCAACAAACCATTAGGAAAATATATATACAGAGAAACAATTATCATCTTAAGTGAGAAGACATAAAGGTGTCCAGTCACTGCCAAAACTCTAGTAAATTCACACCTCACTGTACACTGTGCATTCTCCTGGCTGCCGTGGTCCACACATTAATCTTTACAATCCTAATAAAATAATGTGTTAGCCACTATAACATTTTGCCAACTAAAACACAATTGGCCAATGAAAGGTCTAATCAACTAAACACTTACAGCCCTACAAGGATTGCTGTACTGTGATGTGAAGCAAATTCATGGGAAACTATTTGAAATTGTCAAATAATTATGCCTATGTCTATTCAATTGCATTTACATGTATTTTACAATTATATGTATTCCAGTAGAGTTGTTATCTGTCACCTAAAATCCTACTACATCCAGGAAAATTAAGTTGGCTAACTGGTTTCTCACACTCCCACAACAAGCATCTTTTAACATTTTATTTCTGTCATTCTACTTTGACAATTTGTAAGTGTGAAGAAGACAGCATTTGGCATCCCTCAAATCTGCCAGTCTGACTCACCGACCAAACAAAGATGTCATAAATATGCGTGTGAGAGAATGAAGGATGTAATTTCCCAGCTCTGTCTGTCACTTGAACGCAACACGGGCAGATGTGGTTTACAGGGCTTTCACATAGGCCTTCCTTTAGCACAAAGACACCACTTTAAGTCTATTTATTATCATGGGAGTCCCCCTCAATCACAAAACCAACACTGCCTTCCTAATTGCAGAATAGGGCATTGTATGAAAAAAAGCTATCTCCGAATGTGAGCTGTCAGACAAAAGGCAGCAGGAGTCAAGCTATTAATCAAAACGAAGCCCTCATTATCATTAGTGGAAATTGCTGACTATTCATGTATGTGTATGTGACTGTCTGTATCGCATAGACTAGAGTTTTTCGCCAACAACAAAGCCATGCTGAAATGAAGAAAATATCTTCTCCAGAGAAATCAGAGTGTTAACATAATGCACGTGTAGCAGAAAAGGTGTGTAAGCATTCTTTATGTTAATCAGGAGAAATATGAGAGCAAATGTCAGGATAATTTGGCCCAGCTGCACAAAAAATGGGGAAAGCTACTACAGCGTTGCAGAGTTCGGGACACCTGCTTAATAGCTCACAATAGCACTGAAAGGAGGTCTTAATTTGTAGCAGGAAGAAATGAGTGAGGTTTTACTGATTTATGACACAGAAGTACTGCATTGTGCACAATATTGTTCAGACAGTGAGACAAAGCCAAGTGCCACAGGGAGTATGAACTGAATTTTCACTTTATTTGATAGATCTAATTAGAGGTGAGTGAAATGATATAATGTAGTTAAAAACTCATTGAAGGCATGCAGTTTATTCATTGTACTGCAGGTGTATTGTTTTCAAAAGCCAAATGTAAAGTATTTTATAGCAATCATAACATTATTCCTTCCCTCTTTGATAAAATCCACTATACAGGTTTGAAATGTATGGAGAATTGTCAATACTTTTTGACATTGTTTCAAATTGAGATACCTGTTTTTGCAATTGAACCCTTCTATTGTTCTCCACTCCCTGCTCCTATTGATGAGCCTCTGTTAGGCTTCGAGTGAGGGACAGAGGGATTTAAAGTGAAATATTATGCAAAATTTACTTTTATGAAATTTGTTGTAATGGCGTTTCCTCGACAGTAGCTTTGTCAAAGTTGTATTTTGATTGATTCATGCATGTGTAAGTACTCATATATTATGCAAAATTTGAGGTTTGAGTGCTCAAAAAACACCTACCCCATATCCCCATCCACAGCTTTGCTCCTACTTGATATTTTACAACATTTTTTTGATTCAGGGACATACACATGGGGCTCAAGAATGTTGCATAACCATAAAAAAACGAAACAAAAACAAATCCAGTGCTGGCTACAGTGAAGTGCCACTATGAAGAGGCCATATTGTTCACAATTCAATGTAATGATACCTATATTTCTTGCCCCCAAATTATAATCAGTATCGGCCTTGTGTAATAATAAAACATAAATAACAGTAAAGTAAAATAAAATAAGTCCATTGTGGCGAAATTGTTGTGTTGAAGTACATATAGGAAGACTACTCAGGGCTTATTCTTATTCTTATTTATTTATTTCTAAAGGGTCAGCACATATTAAAGCACATTTAAAATGTAAATATGTAAAGATTATAGACAGCGTGGCTAATTTCCATCATCAATCTGCCGAGGGACTGAAGATGGAAATTAGCTGCGCTGGCTATAATCTTTACATATTTACATTTCAAATGTTCATTAAAATGTGCTGTCCCTTTACAAATAAATAAATAATAAGAAGAATAAGCCCTGAGTACTCTTTCAATATGCACTTCAACAAAACAATTTCACCACAATGGATTTATTTTACTTTACTTTACTGTTATTTATGTCTGATTATTACACAGTGCTACTTTATATTGAGTATTTATATATAAATCAGTATTACCTCCTTGGTGTCCCATCTTCGTGCGGTTGGATGATGACCACTTTGACACTGATGGACGTTCTCAGCAGGTCTATCATCTGCTCGTGTGTGAGCGTCGCCACGGCAACCTTACAGATCTCCACCAATCTGCTGCCCTGCCTCAGTCCGGCTTTCCACGCAAATCCAAAGGGCTCCACGTCGGCCACGATGCCCTCGAAGTTAACGTGAAAGCCCAGCTGACCCAGACTGTTCCTCCTCAGGGTCATCTCGAACGTCTCACAGCCTCGAGTCACAATCTGGGGAAAAGAAAACAACTCATTATTACTGAGATAGCCATGCACATTCAATTATTTCATAGAGTTTAACAAATATACTAAATTACAGTGCTTCAAATACGGTATGCATTTTGGATAAGTGGCTCTATTAAGATGTTGGACTAGTACATTATAACATTATGAATACAAAATGCATAGTTCTTTACCAATGCAATGGCCTTAGATTAGTAAAGAAAATATAAACAGAAAACATCTTGAGAAAGATTGAGGGATTATACATACAAACATTTAGGGATAAATATACAATAGCAAATATTGTAAATAAATAAATAAAATCGAGTGATTCTATATAAATCGATTCACACCAAAATGATTCAATTACTCAGATTATAAAATTAGCATAACTTTCCAACAATAAGAGTTCTCAGAGTAACATCCAGTTTAGAAATCAGATTATGACAGTACCAATTTTCCCCTAAGTATGTGAATGTAGTGAATACGTGCGCAAATTGTCATGTGCAAATCAAAAACATTTCAGCCTGGTAACTACCTGGCTATTGTCCATGATTCAGGCCACATCAGTCAAAATAAACAAAAGTCTTGAGGGACTTAGAAGACAGTCTGTATGTTTTAAGGTTAGAGGTTAGGGCTACATCGAATTAAAGTTCAGTATTGTGCGTCCTTACAAATTAGTCATCTCAGTTTGCTCCACACTGGCTGGTTATAATCCCTTAATGCAATTCAAGTTCAGACCAAGTTCAGTCTAAGTTCAAACCACACAGCGAAAACAGCGGTGGCAGTGCGGTCTACAAGGCACACCTTAATACGTGAGGTGCATTACAGCCAATAGCACTCCCTGTAAGCTTTATTATCGTGGCAACCGCTGGAAAAAGCTCCGCAGTGCATCGAATGGGCCTTAATCACCCATCAGATTAGTCCTGGTTCAGTTGTGGGTGACTGGCTCCATTTGCACAGAGTGGCAGCTGGCTTCAGGGACACATTACTGAGTCTATGGGCTTGTCAACACCGAACCAGATTCTCACACGGCCAGAAATCCTACCCCACTGTGAAGGGTGAGAAGGGAGAGAGGCGGGAGAGAGGGGCAAATCAGAGAGGGAGAGAGAGAAAGAAAGGTGAGAGTAGAGGGTGCAGACCACTGTGGAGGGTGGAGAGGGATGAAGTGAGAGAGAGAGAAGGGTGAGAGAGGGGGGGGCAAACCACTAAGATGGGTGGGAGGAGAGAGAGGGATGGTGGGTGGTCAGGGAGGAGTGGGAGAAAGAGGCCAGAGAGAAGAGAGAAAGTTAAGGGGATGTGTGTGTGAGAGAGAGACAGACAGAAACAGAGAGAGAAACAGACAGAGAAACAGAGGGAGAGGGAGGGAGAGACAGAGGGATGGGTGAGAATGACAGATTGGAGGTCAGAGATGGGAGAGATAAGAGTAAAGAGAGAAAGAGGCCAGACCACAGTGAAGGAGGAGAAGGGAGAGAGTTGGGGGTAAAAACAGAACAAGACCAGACCAGGAGTGATAATGAAGAGATGGAAGAGAGAGGGTAAAGACAGCGGGAGACGAGAGAGGGAGGTGTGAAAGAAAGAGAGTAGGAAAGACCACCAAGAGGAAAGAGAAGGGAGAGAGAGGAGAGAGGTGAAAGAGAGAAAAAAGAGAGAGAGAGAGTAGGTAAGACCACAAGGATGAGCCTGACACATTGACACATACTGAGTGACTTCTCACAATAACGGACTGGTGAAGTGAGTTTTGAAGACACATGAGCCACAAAGAGAAGCAGCTTTCAAATGTTTTCGCTTTTTTTCCCCCCTTTTCGCGTTTACCATCGTGCGCAAAACAGTTTGAGCTAACTGACAGGTGGTAGCCAGGCCAGTCATTGTTGTCTGAATTCCTGCTTTTGCTGTCACATCAGTAATTTCATTCTCCAATTTTAGCTACAACTTCTTCATCTTACCGCATGGACACCTGTAGAAGGGCATCTGGAATAAAATAAGCCTGAACTAGAGTTAGACTGACTGACACAACACCAACATCCACCTCTAGAGTTTTGGAAATTTGAGATTGCAAGAAAGACCTTGTGCTCAGGATGCAGACATTAGGCCCATTAAATCAAACTGCCCTGTCGCTGAAATTCATTAGGCCCAAATAATGGCCTCCTAAAAGCCTTCATTAGCAGCTTTTATTCCCTCCATGTGGGCCAGTAAAATATGTCCAGCTTCTCCTTTCAGTGGCCTACATAAGTCATGGCACATTTCCACACTCTAGATTATCCATCACAGACTATGTTTACATGCACATGAAATCTGATCATTATTTCTGGTGTTATCAGATTATTGAAATGTCATGTAAATACACATACAGATTTAATATGAGTAATCTGTTTTTTTTTTTTTTCTCTTGCTGTGGATCCTACCTGGACGTCTGATAAATTACAGTGACATTTTTTAGTGATCTTGTATTTGTATTTATTGGCTATCTATTATCTCTAACACTAAGCTCTATTGTTTTTAGTCTCTTGCTGTTATTGTACTTTTCACGTAAATTCTCCATTGCGGGACATATCAAGTTTGTTATATATCTTATCTTAATTGTATCTATATTAAAACTGTTCTCAAAGTTTAATCGCTGAAAGTAAAGTGCACATGGTCTGGAGGCAGAGTGACCGTCTATCCTCTTTGGCAGTGATGAGTGGTTCAGACGTCACTGATCCTGGCTTTTGAAACTTGTCCATGTGTGTTGACAAAACAGTGTCAGTCCACTTAAGCTCAAAGCAGAGGCCGGACTCTCACAGTTCAGTCCCTTTGAGTCCACTGTTGGGGCTTTCAGAGGTTTATCATTTACCAGGCAGAGAAATGTAAGGATCCAGGCGCTTTTCAGTTGTAAATTACCTTTGAAAATGTGGACAAAACGACATCATTCATCCTGTCTGTTTGACTATGACCACAGAGATGTTAATTAGAGACTGATTTCATGTGTCTTTCAGGTTTTTAAAACATGTGTTCATATTATTCAGTACTGATCTTAGCCTACATCAACCAACTTTTAACAAAAAAAAATCTTTTAGTCTGGAAATGTTCCAGATGACTTGTCTCTGCAGCACAGTATAAATACTTCTGACAATTTGGCATTTGCAGTTACACTCTAACTATATTATTTTTCTGACATTCTTCTGAACAAGTGAAAATAGCTAAGATCCAGTATATGAAAGTTGCAAAAAATAAAATATATAAGGTAAAATTATTGAATAGCTTTACCTTCTAAAGTAAAAAATGTAATTGAACTAAACTTAACAAAAACATAAATATTAACACTGCAGTGTAATAGTTAGATAATGTTTGTTGGACTGTACATTATTTTATACACTACATTCATATTATATCCATGGATTTTAGAGTTATGAAAAATTTGCACTGTTGCCATAGCAATTTACAAAGTACTCAGTAAATAATGCCTATAAACAGGAAGCTGAAATCCATAAGTCTATAGTCCGACACATGGCAAACCCACTTCACTTTTACCTTCTAATACTTCATGATGTCAAATATGATTGTGAAAGCACCTAGCGCAGTATTACGCAACTCCTCCCTGGACATACTGTCATTTTCCAGGTTACATCAGAAACTAAATGGCACTATTTCCACTAAACAAAAATAGCCTTCCCACTGCCTATAGCCAAGGGGATTTGCCCTTAAAAGCTGAGCATGTATCCATCCACCACCGCTGCAGTCACACTCAGGAGGGCAGAGGACACAGCCATCACAAAGCTTTTAGCCCAGTATTCATAACAACTCACTCACACTATTCTACCGCTGCTATAGGCCGACTTTAGTTCGCATTACATCACAAGTCCGGCAGCCTGTAAATCCTTCCAATGAAATATGAGCGCGCCCAATCTCCAGACTGCACAAACACAGACACCTCAGGGATATGGTATAGTGTGCATGGTCAGCTATGATACTCACTGTGCGAGTAATACAATCACATACTTATTAATAGTTTTGCACCAGCCTCGCGTGTGAGATATTCTCCACAAATCCCCCTGTGGTGAGACGCAAGTGAGTGCAGATTAGCATAACGAATGAGGAAGAGATGTCCTTTGGCTAATCACAAATGTTAATGTATCCTGCACTGTCCTTTCCTGGATGAAAGAAGTGCAAAGTGAATGACAGCTGTGTAAGGATTAATTATTCAAATGGGATTCTGCTGCTTTTTAAGATTACTTACTATTCAGATATCTAGTTTTAGTCTTCTGTTTCTAAGTATCTTTGAAATGTAACTTTCTTATTACTAGGAGAAAGAGAGGGGGGTTCAAAAATGTGGAAAACGTTCCCGTACTGGCACATAATGTGATGTTAAAGCTATGAGAAATGAAAGATCTATCTTAAAGGTGCCAAAATACACAATGTGGAATAAATGAAGAAGTGCAAAGAGAATTAAAGTCAAATACAGGTCAGGCATAAATGATTTATGTAGACACACTAAAATAGTATCAAGTATTAAGTGCAACTGCATGCACGGTACTGCATAATTCCTTCTCTCCGTCAATTCCACTATAAAACGCTGAACACTGTTGGTAGACAGATACTTTCTTTAAAGGTGTACCATGTGGTAAAGGACCTGTAATGTCCTTAGAAAGCTTTGACTACAATTTAACTTAGCTCGTATAAAAATATCTTAACTGCAGGCCTGTCACGATGACAAACTTTGAAGTGTGATATATTGCTTATAAGTAAATATAGATGATAAATGGTAATACTAGCACAATTATCCCCCCAAAAATCCTTTAAATGCACAATGTTATTAAATACTGTTGAGCTGCAATGAATAAACAGCAGACTGCAACACATAAGTAACATAAGTTTAAAATTTGACTTCATAATTCAATCTCCATCATCTTATCTTAATGCAGAAAAAAATAATAACCCTAACCTCATCTCATAATATATTGAACAATAAGTTGATACAGTAATTATCATGACAGGCCTACCAGTACTTGAGTGCATTCTTATTGAGCATGAGGTCGCCCTTCCATAGATATGACCTTATACGTGTTCTGGTGGAGTCACCTGCTTGTCTCCATGGAGATATACAAGTGGCCGACCTTCCACCTGTTAATTTGCATAGTGCACCTTTAATATTGAATGCATTAAATATACTTTGATGCACTGATATTTTAATGACTATGTTTCAGTTTAGGTGGTTCACTAAAGTCTAGCTCTTGCGTTAAGCTCTGTGTCCCATAAGAGTGCCCAGCTCAAACCAGGTGTTTTTATGGCCTATTTAGAACCAGCTGACACCAAAATAGCACCGCCGCAGTTGACCATTTTAGATGAGAAAAAGAATGAGGACTCTGAAAGAACAAAGTGGGTAGCTTGAGCATCTTAGGGCACGTCAACTCTATTCTTAGTCTATAAAAAGTCCCTGTATTTCATTTTATCCCCGTTAAAACTGGGTTGGTGACCTGCTTTAAGCTGTTATTGCCTTACCTGCACCAATCCACCCCCCCCCTCCTTTTCAATGATTTCACAATGTGACGCAAATCATGTTAATCTCTCCATCAAATAAAGTGTCTAGCTTTCATGAAATTGCATTGGTGTTTAATAATAATGACTAGACTTTGACAATCATTTTTGTTATGACCTAAACGTCTGGCTGTAAACCCCAGCTGATTATACGCAATGAGCCAAAGAAAGCTGTCAGCAGGAGGGCCTGTTTAATCCTCTACTGTGGATGTTTTTAAATTCAGGTACAATGCAGTTTACAAAGACACAAATGGGATGAGGAGAGAGTTAAGGTTAAACAAGATGTTGTAGATGTAGATGTTTTTGTTGACTTGAACTTGAACACTGCTGTACTGCTGTCAGTGTATGGAAAATATACAACATTATACACACTACATTCTGGATTCCTTACACTAGCAGTTAAATGAATGCCTCACCCCACTCTTCATCCTCTGTTTTGCTGTAAATGTGAACTAATACTAAGAAAAACTAAACAAAACATGGCTTACTTGGGTGTTGATTGCAAAGACATGTAGAGGCAAGCTAAAAATAAATGCATGTACTGTGTGAAAACACGGGCAAAGAACAAGGACAAAACTTCAGAGCTGAAAATAGCCGACTTGTATGGGTCATTTGGCCATTATTAAGCAAAGGAAACTTTCCATATCCACTACCAGTAAAATCCACCTGCAGCTCCCTGTCTACTGTCAGTATTTATTGATTACAGTGTGACTCTCCTAGAGTTATCATTAGGGTGGATATTACTGTGATTACTGTTCTAATGACTTGAACTAGATGGGTGTCGTTGTGCATAGAGCCTGTTGTATTTTTTGTACAAACAACTGCCAAGTGATTACTAAAATAAAAGGCAGTAGAATAAATAAATTAAACAAACTTGTCAAACTGTATACAGGTTAACCAAGGCACAGATAATGATGCAAATCAAATAGCAGCTTGTGGTGAGCAGTAAACCCTGAATGGCAAAAGTAATATGAGTAAAATGCATTGTTTCACCACATAAAGACCGCAGAATTGGAAAATGCTCCAATGCCCCATTTGAGCTAAAGGCAAGCATTACCACTGAAATGTCTCTGTGCGAGTGTGTGTTGTGTTCACGGAACCATCCGGAGTTTACTAGGAATTATGATGACAACATCCAGCCAAGTATTTCCCATTGTAATAACCTGGAGACTGTTCTGTTGTTTAAGTCATGCATTAGTGCCACCCGGGTCTGTCTACTTTAATAAGTCTTACTATAAACTGGATATGAGATAATGATGTAGTGTTGGTGCTCTATACCGTCTTTATCTTATGTTTTGCAAGAATGAACACAACAAAGGAGCAATTTAAATACACACAAAACAATATAAAAGAAAAATCCTTTTGCTACTGAACAATAATGTAGATAGGCCTATGCTTCTCTATTGAGGAAGAATAAGGAAGCATTCGTGCATACATTTAATATGTGCAAACTGTTTTAGAACTGCCTCATTTCTGCTTTATGTATTTATGTATAGTTTTGTTAATTATCAGATTAAGTACCAGTACTGTAATCTTACTTATATGTAAAAAGAAACTAGAAGTCACATTGGAAACTAATGCTGACAGTTTGAGGAGGTGATGCACAAAGCTGTTCGCCAAATGTGTAGCTAATTAAAATTGAAAGTGACACTAAAATTTTAATTTAGGAAGTGTGCTGGAATGAGCTCACATAGAAAATGGGAGTATAAATAATACATTAATACAATGCCAACGAGAGAAGTACATAATCACAATCTAACTAAAAACAACATGTATGGGACATCACATTGTCTCATGTAGCTGAATAAACAGTAACCACTATTAAAACCACGATTGTAAACATGCAATTTGCAATTCTGATTGGATTTCAGTGATATGATGTGGTGAGGTCATCACTTCAATTTGTGTATTAGAGACAGAAACCCCCCCCCTCTGTCTGACAACAGCCAACATGCGATATTGGACTAGATTATAATTTTTGACACCAACAAAAGTCAAGATTAACAATAATTTGTGATTCTGATTCTAAAGATAAAATGTATCAGTAGGATACAGACAATTGTGAAGCTTTTAGTAGCCAAAATAAGTTATTTAAACTTAAAATAGATACAGCCAGCAAATAATAAAATCAAAATATAAAGAACTTTTTTTGTGGCTTCACTACAACTATTAGTACTTTTGCATTTAGAATTTAGAAGTTCAGGTAATCTATTCAAATCAACACTGTAATATTTATAAGTTATGGTTCTGATAAGGTTTAATAACATTTTGTCTTACATTAATGGTAATACTACAAGTTGACGTTGTGACATCCCTTCTAGTCTTAGACAGGTACTCAATGCGATCATTGAATTTGAGTTATTGCCTTCAACTCTGACTAAGGTTATCAAGATTATCGAGATCATAATTATGTCATTTCAGTTCAATATACGGTGAAAAAAATAAATAAAAATGAGGTCACTAAATTGGAAGTTGTTTGATTTGGCCAGGGTGCTCAATGTGTAATTCTTGATATTTCTTATCTTATAACTAAAAAAACACAGACATTCGATATTGTGACATTCTTTGACAATACAAAACTTACCTCCAGCCTCTGCACCATCTCCCTTATGTCTTCTCCGCAGTTATCATGGGCCGACAGCATGATGCACTCTCCTCTCTCGTAGAAGATCTTGATGCTCATAATCCCTGAAGTCCACCCGATCACGTCCCGACATGAGCAGTTGAAAATCACGTTTTTAGACTCCTCTTCTATCAGCACGATAAACTCATTCGATATTCCCAGAAGGCCGTCAACGTCCATGGACTGTCCAAAATCCCTCGCTCGGACGCTCCAGGTTACTGCGCCGATGCTAAAGAGGTGCGCGTCTTTCCGTGGTTTCACTTTCTCTTTCTTCTTGGCTCCTAACGTTATAAAGCTGAATTTCACAGCAGAGTCAATAGTAGCGGTGCTGACAAAGTTTTCAGCCAAGTCTTTGAGATATTCCTGTCTCGTCCTGGTCGCCATAGCCCTAAACTTCTCCGATTTGTGAGCTGCGTTTTCGCCATTGATGACCTTAGCAAGTAGAAAGTCCCTGAAAACTGCTGATTTGGGGAAAGTCACAGATTTGGGGATGGGAGGTCCGAAGGGGGGCACGTCTTTAGATCTGGAGACAGCGACGCTAGAGAAAGAAAAATCAATAAATCAAAACAAGCACTTAAGGTGTGAGAACAGTGAGACAATAAAAGAACTAAAGTATTGAACGGCAAGTTAAATGGACCTTTTAAGTCTGAGCTGGCATGTCGCTCAGGGAAATGGCTTGTGCTAAACTTGGTAACCTTTCTTCTATACAATAAAATGAATGCTTTTGACTTTTCTACCACTGAAGAAGAGTGCTTTAAATCATTACTTTTAAGGTGTCTGTGAAGATAATAAGTGTAACATCACCACGCGTATCAAAAGAGACCTGCAATTTTAGCTTTTTGCGAAGTTGAGACACCTCAGTTAGCACCCAGCAGGCCATTATTTTTATTCTTTCAAATTAAGTGCTCTTAAAAGTTCACATGACGCCATTTGCCGAGAAAACATTTGAACAACACACACAAATTGTTTTTCATTTCCTTAGCATCCCGCTGTGCTCAACCTAATAGTTTTGATGCTATTACTTTATTTCATCACAAAGTTGTTTTTATTTATGGAAATTAAATTGTCATAGTAATTTACCTGTAGCAGACGTTTTCAGTGCAGGGGTTATGGACTTTTACAATGACAAACACATGCTGGAAATGCGATCGGATGTTTTTGGGAGTGAAAGGAAGTGCCCCGGGCTCCTGGAACACGATGGTGACGATGTCGTTCCCGATGTGCCGTTTCCGTAGCAACTGTAAAAAAAAAAAAACACACAGATTGATGAAGTTAGCTACGAGATGTAATGTGATTCAAAACATATTCGAAATATGGTGAACAGAAGTATAAGATCAGCATGATTTTGATGTTAGCTACATTCCCCCGAGTCACAATAGAATGTATCAAAGTAAGCTGTGCACCAATTGAGTTAAACTACAAGGTGACTTCTATGTGGCAGATGTGTAAGATTTAGTCTTTGAATTCTGTATTAGATTATAGGTACAGTAACCTAATAATATAATCCAAGTATACGTAAATGTTCCCCATGGAAATATAGTTAATAGTAAATATTAGATTACTGCAATGTGTGGCCAAATGTGTAGGCTTTTTTCTTTTAAAAGGACAGTATGGACTATTTTGATTTTCAGTTGTTGTTTTTTTTTTTATCTGTGTCTCCAGCTGCAGTATGAGAGTGATCAAATCAAATATAGCTTTCACTGTAATGCTTCTTTCAGGGTTCCACCTCTTTTTCACTGACAATATTTCAAAACTTTTCCATGACTTTTTCGTGACCTAAAGTGAATTTTCCATGACTTTACAGCACCTACATGTGTAGAATTGATCAGACTTTTAGGGCTAATTATGAAATGTTAACCTTTTCCACTCACCTTATGGTTTGGTATTATAGTTTTTTTTTTTAACATTCAAAATACTATGAGTGCATTTATTGTCGTCTCTTTTAAACAAAAGGCATATACGTTCGAAAATAATCATGATAGCCTAATGATAACTCAACAGTAAGCTGTAGTTACGTGAAAGAGATACTAAAATTCCATGACTTTTCCAGACCTAGAAAATGACTTTTCCAGGATTTCCATGACCATGGGAACCCTGCTCTTTATTACAAAAACATTGGACACGATGCGATGGACTAGTTGTTTTGTTATAATTTAGTGTTTTAGTTCTCAAGATAATTCTCCAGTCAGAAAGCAGAATGAGTCTTACATGAGTCTCTCATTTGGGTTGCCAGTTTCAGTACAGTTATCTTAAATATGTACCCATTTTATTTATTATTATTATTAAGTTACCAAAATGTAACCTTGACAGAACTACTTCTTTCAACACCATTGTTTTAGTATGTCTCTTGCACAATAAAGATCCTTAGTTTTGTTCATTCTAAACAAATATATTCACAGCACATAAAACCCAGTATAAACAAAATGTATCAGCTGACTATGCAAATATTATGTCCACTTTTCAGCATTACAGACACGGGTTTATTTAGTATAGCTTTTGCAGTAGTAAATTTATAACGCATGGTTCAGCTCCAGTGTCAAAGATAAAAGAGCTATTTATTTTCCCCATTGATATTGCCTCATGCCATCACCCCATTGAGCGCTTGTATTGTTGTCTTGTTGCAGTTAGTTAACCTCAGTCCCTTCTTGCTATGGAGTTGTCAGTTGGGATCAAGAGGAGCGCCAAACAAGCCGGATTAGGAGGAGGAGAGGTGAATTGGAGAGGATGAAGGGATGAGAGTTGATGGAGAGATTACCTCCATGGATTAAATTACAATATCCCACTACCCGGTCGCACACATACAACTGAAGGAGGTGAAAGGAAGGCCAATGGACTCACAAATCTTTAGATGCATGAAGACACAGCTGTTTGTATGAAAGATGGCTCCAATTGATTCTATAGTACAACTGAAGTGTAATCAGAAGTGGTGGAAGTACTCAAAATATGTACTCAAGAAAATGGTAGTAATAATATTTTGGAATGTTCCAAAATATGGCATTAAACTTGTCCATCTCAGAAATTAACCTGCTCACAGTAAAAACGTATTTTGAAAAATGCAAAGGGCAATAGAAACACACATAATATGCTACAGAATTAATGCCATACTGTGGAACATTCAAGACAAAGCAATAAGTCTTCACGGAGACCACCAAGTCCCAAACCCCACAAAAAAGGACATATTGCATCTTTAAAATCTACTTGCACCAGTAATTTCAGTGCAATGAATTGTGTTTTTGTAAGAGCAGTAGAACAGCAATACATAATTTAACCATACAAGTACTTGTTGTGGAAAAAAATTATTTAGCTCTTGATGATGAATAATTAATCCATTTGTGAAGCCTGATGAGTTTTTGGAATAAAGGCCAAGGTTTATTCTTGTTGTTACAGGAGATGTGGACAGGAACTAGGCCTGCCCTGGCCAGAGACCAACATCCTCTCTTAACCAGCAGTATGTCCCTACCACATCAGCTCCTCTGTGCTCTACCCTCGAGCAACTCCACTGAGCATCCCCTCCGAGTCTATCCTTTGGAGACTCTGCCCCAGAGCATCTGAGCTCTGAGTATTTATACAGAAATACAAGTTACATACATAACAAAGCAGAGTGACTTTTGTTTCACAGGCTTGTGTTACATTAACATACATTTGAGGACAGCTAAGACAACTCACAGTTTCCTGAGGGTGGAGACAGATGAGCCTTTACACATGTTAATGATAGGTCTGGTTCTCAAGTAGAAATCACATTGATTTACACAAAGACAGATCCAGAGAACTCTTTCCACAATATAAATTTCCATCACATACTATTACAACTTCCACTATTTCAGCTGTGTATAATGCTATGACTTGCCATTTTGTTACCTGAACTATTGTTACCACATGAATTCCAAATTTACTTCAATATTAACCAATTTGAGGCTACGCTGTTGAATCCACTGCCACCACGGCAGCATCCGGCGCTTGGTTGGCAGTCCCCCATTAGCTTCACTTAATTCCACTTGTTAGTGCAGACAGATAGACACAAAAGCCTAATGCCAACTCCATGTCCGGCCCCTGGGGAAGCATTGATTAAAAAGCTTTGGAGGGGTACAGTTACTATGGCAATACTCCTGAACGCACTGCTTTCTGCTGATAGGTCATTACTGCGGCAGAACTAGCCATTGGGGAGGATTGGCAGGAGCCCGGCTTGAATTTATTGATATCCAAAAAAAGGAGCTACTCAAGAACACATTAGCTGCATTAGACAAAGGCCTCAACATCAATGGCTAGCAAGAGTGGACCCTAGAGATTTGTACCTAAAAACACTCTCACATACACTGCAATGATGAATAGTTTCCTGGGTCTTTTGAAAAACATGGAGTACATCTCGCCAGTGCCGCCATTTCAACCAGGAGTGGGGATAATTGCCACTCTCCGAGACAGGTCTTTGCTAACAAACCAAGATTTATTGAGCTGTGGGTCCTAATAAGATTTCACTCAAAAATTACATCCAGGCTTGGTCAACACTAATGCTGTCGCTAATGGGGTTAAAAAGTTCAGAGGAGATTAAAGTTTAGATTTATTTGCATTTTGTAAAGATTATTAGACTATGCTGGTTGAATTTGCTTTGATAGATCCCTTTATTAAATGTTCAGATTTACACAATACATTTTCACCTTTCATCAGATCTAAATTTTTGAATTTAAGTTATAAATGTTATTTGAATGTATTTGTTATTTTAAAGTCTGTACTATGTCTGTAAATAAAATGAAAAACTGTTGTGAGGAAGTATTGTTTGAAGGAAAAAATAATCTGAATCTCTAATTAAATAAACAAGTAATGTCAAACACAATTGTAAATGGCTCTGATGTAATTTACTTGTCTCGGAATGGTTATCATTTCACAAATCTGATGTGATATTCTGTGGTTACTCAAATTTTTTTTTCCATTGAAATGACATTATGACATTATTTTTAAGGGTCTATAGCAGGGCTGGGCTTTTTTTTCATGGGGCTACATACATGAGACACAGAAAATATCGTAGAGGGCCAAAATGCTAAACTCAATTCTGCATAATATTAATTGTATTTCTTCATAAATAGCAGTAAATAGCACTGTTTTGACAAGCTGGTCAGACTGGTAAGAGTTTATGTTATGACTAAGCATTGAAAAAGTGAGGCTGCCTTAAAAAATATCATTAAAAACACCTCAAAAATAAAAGTAATGCAGATTTAGTCCATGCATGTTTAGTCTACAGGCTGCATAAGGCTGAGGAGAGTTACTGACCTGTTGCCTGTTGTTGGGAGTATACGGGAGCATGGTGGACACATGAAACATCAGCTCATAGTCTTTGTAGGTGGTGTACAGAGAGTGGGTCCCTGTAGAATCAGCTGGAGAGAGGGGCAAAAAACATGTTCTGATGTTATATTTAAAATCAGATTAAACAACATGAATATACAGTCAAATTTCAAGTTCTCTTTTACAACTTCACAGAAATTATGTACATTTTTATCATTTACTTAAAGATAAAAATGTAATAAGATAATGTAATGTAATGTAATAATGTAATGTAATAAGATAATGTAACTTTTCTGGCAGACTGTCAGAAAGACGTTATTGCTTTGATTGGAATATTCAACAATAGGGATGCAACAATATCCAAAACTCATGGTACAATATTATCACGATATGCATCTCACAATACGATATTTATTGCGATATTTTGGAGACACTGTTGTAGATAGGATGCATATTGTGTTTAAAATACCTTAACAAGACTCAGTGTAAATCAATACTGTCATAATCCCAAGGATTAAAGTAAAAAAAAAAACAATTTCTTCATGTTGTCTCCACTGAAATTAATCATGGTATATGTAGCTCCCTGTGTTTCTTAGCTGTTACTACTATAAAACAATGCATTTAAGCAAATTAACTTGTGATTCAATATATTGTGACAGCCCACAATATTATTGAGAGACCTCCGTTGATACAATATCACGATATTTCGATTTTTGTTACATCTCTATTCAACAACATATTAAATTTATCTATCTTATTCACTGGCAGGTGTTTCATTACTAAATACCTCTTGAAACCTTAACTTTTGTTGTAAACAGGGTCACCTCTCCGCAGATCTAACCAGTAACATGGCCTGTTACTGCAACTCGGATTTCATCTGCTTGTCCTACTGATATAGACTTTATACCTTCCAGCTAAAGCAATAATACCACCAAGAACAAGCAGGTATAGTGGACCATCAATCAGAAAAGTACAAAAGTTCTGTAAGAGCAATACTCCAGGTTTGATGTTAATGATAAAGGTACACTATGTAACTTTTCGTAGTGCACCTTTATCATTGACATCAAACCTGTGGTATTGCTCTCACAGAACTTTTGTACTTTTACCTCAGTTTGCTTTTAGAGGTTCTATCTAATGCTTTATATAGCGCCGATAATGGAGTTGGGTGCCTGGACAGGCTAATATATAAAAAGAAAAACAGGCCCAAGATAAAAGCCTAATCGAATATAAACCAGACCAGGATGTGTTGTTAGCCCTAATACATCTAATAGCGTTACATCTTACTCTTGTTATCCAGCTGCGCTCTGTACTTGGTGAATCCTTTTAGACGAACTCTCTGTCCGAGCAAATCCAAGAACTCTTCCAAGGCTGGCCCTGCGCTTTCATTGTTGTACATCTCCTCCTCCGTGCTCTGTCCGGCCTTGCAGTAGAGGACCCCAACTTTGTGCTGAAAACTTAGCTGCAACAGAGGAAAAAAAAGCACACAGACACTCATCAGCTAAGTGTTATTTCCTGTAGTCCTGTGTGCAAACTGTACATTAGGCACTCAGAGAAAAAGATACAGAGGCTTTCAATCACTTCACAGCTAGTATCCACGGCGGTAAATCAGTCTGGGGTTGTAACAGCTACTTAAAAGCAGTTGGGAGGGGATAGTGTCAGGTTTTAATGGCAATTTAGGATGTTTCTTAGTCTCGGATTACACAGAAAGTTAAAATTAGGCTATACTTGATCTACATAGCTTCAAGTAGTCAAGTGCATATGCGTTAAAGGAAGATGTATGTGTCATTTATTTTTTATTTATTTAATTTTATTTATTTGTTTGAGCAAGGTAAAACAAAATCAACAACACTAACAAAAAACAAAACAAAAACAAGGATATGTACATGTACATATTTTGGACATGGTGTTCAAAAGGAGTAGGATGAAGTTTAAAAAAAACAAATAATGTCCTACCCCAATTGTTTTACATAATCAAATAGTTAACAAATTTATTTATTTATTTATTTAATTTCAAGAAATAGTTTTTTTTTGTAAGTGCAAGTTATTTATTGCATCATATTTTAAGTTGAAAATCCAAAAACAAAAATTAAGAAAGAGATCCAGTCTATTATCTAATTAAGATAGTTATCACAATATGGTAATGTAAAGTACTGCTAGGAATCTGGGTTAGGCCTCCTTAATAAAATGTCTATGAATATCCCTTGTTTGAAAGTTGTTTCTTTTGGATTTATCCATTATTTTTCCTTTGGTTTAGTCCTGGATTAGTGCTAGATTAGTAGTTCTGTCATAGTCCTGTTTAAATCCTCATTTCAACATGATCTGTGTAAATCTGCTCCTAGTTTAGTCTCAAAATAAACATGTTCGGAGGTACTTGACGTAAAAACTTTCAGGATCTCTTGTACAGGAAACGCTTCACTCCTTTTTTTGTGAACCCTGAATGGCTCTGAACTCTCAGCAAAGCTCTGAGCGTGGCATAAATCAACCTGGGCTAATAACAGCTACTTAAGAGCAGCTGTGAGCCAGGCAAGCTGTGAATTACAAATACTCCAACACATACCGGCTTAAGGAGGAAAAGACAGAACAGAATGCATTTGAATTCATAGAAAAAAAAAGCCTCCCAAAGCAAAGACTTCATTGTGGTTTGACAGTGGCTAAGAAACTATTAACAAGCTTTATTGCATTTGGTTATTATTCCCCAGTGAATAAAAGCAGATGTCTAGTTTTGGACAGGAACAAATTTGTTGACAGTGTAAATTCAAGCAGAAGGATTTGGCAATTTATCCTACAATACGTAATTGACATAATTCTATCCATGGTAATTATAATCAGTGTGGGATAACCATTCATTGGGAAAACATGGCCTGGCTTATCCAGCACATTGTACTGCAAATTCTCCATTACTAGTATTACTACAGTACAGTGTAAAACAATGGAAACATTTATATAAGAAAGAAACACTGGACAAGCTATTTGCTATTATTATTTAGGGGTATAATAATAGAGTCAATACAATCCAGTTGCACTGTCAGTAACTGAATTTGAAATAATCAGATAATATTTCTGCAACCTTTATTTTATTAAAGGTCCTATATTACGCAAAGTTGACTCTTGTGAGGTTTCAGCCATGTTAAAATACATATGACCTCATTTCCTAGTTAATTCCATCCATATTCCATCCAGTCCTTGTATTTGCAGAGGTTGCTGGTGCTAGGCTAGTGCATATCAAAGGCCATAGTTAGCCTGTCACTAAAAACAGTCTTACCCACTCCACAAAACACCTGAAGCAAAAGTATTATTACACCAGACTGTCAGTGTGAATGTCTGTGTTGTTACAATAATGTTTGAAATAAAACTAACCTTGCGTCATACAAATCTTCGCATTTTGAGGGACTATTTTCTCAGCAGCAGTGAAATTTTACTTTGCAGGTAAGATAGGTGATTGGTGATATCAGTCAGGAAGTACAACTCGCGGCTGCTGCTCAAACATAAATCCATCAAATTCAAGGTTAATTTTACTTCTAAAATTATTCTATTGACAAAAACATTTACATCGACAGTCTGGAGTTATAACTGTTTTGCCTCTGGTGCTTTGTGGAGTGGGTAAAACTGTTTTTAGTGGCAGGATAACTATGGCCAGTGACATGCACTAGCCTAGCACCAGTGACCTCTTGAATTACAAGGACTGGATGGAATATTTAAAAAGCATCTCCACACGTCTCCAACACTCTGGCTATGTAGGAAATGAGGCCCAATGTCCAAAATTCCGCACCGTCCCGTAAACTCATCAAAAACATTCCTGGAGTTGTGTTTGTTTCCTGCATGTAATCCTGCATTATTAGTCTGTCTACCAGTCCATCTCCAAATCTCAAAATGCTCTGCCCCACCTTGTGATGTCATGTAGTGGTAGTTTTCGAGTTAAAAGTAGAGGCTCGCTATCCCAAGGCTGAAATTATGAAATGATTCTAGAAAAGGCGTATGGGTAAAAATACAGGGTTTGTGCGTTAAATGTGTGAATGAAACAAAACACAACTCCCCGGTATGTTTTCGATGAGGAAACAACATTATAACATCGATCAGGAAATAATGTTATATGTGCCCTTAAAGTACAATAGCACAATAGTGGTACTAGTTGGAAAAATGGGTTTTTGCCAAATCTTATTACATCTTATATATGCAATTTTGTTGTACATCTTGTATGGGTGCGAAGGTTTCACAGGTAGTAATCTAGGTTTAGGCTTGTATAATGGAAAATGAAATGGAAAATAAAGCATGTTCCCTTTATTCTTATCTCGAAAATATAGCATTATTTTTCACTTGAACTAAAACCCCATTTCAGACTGAATCATTTATACCCAGGCAGTTGAAAGCCTCAGACACCTGTTGCGTTAAGGTGAGCTGCGCATTTTAATCTTAACCTGGTTGACGCATCGGGGCTAAAGAGCTCCTCTGATGTTGAAGGTAACATATAATCTACTGAAATAAATTGCCATTGTCTTTTCGGGCTCTCGCAGGTTAAATCCCTTTGTGATGGTTGTCATGGTAACTGAGCCCAGATCTTGATGGAAAGCGATTACACAGCGAGGCCCGGTGGAAATAGCACAATGCTGTTTTTTTTTTCTACCTGGATTATATGGGTCCACTTAACCTGGATCACCTCTTTAACAGACTGGCAGACTGCAAGGACAACACGGCTGGCCTTTGGCTGTGAATTTGTCCCTGTCTGAAAAAGTGCAAACATGGAAAAAGCAGAGAGGGTCCCCAGGTGTGGCTTGCAGTGTGGTGTCTACATGGATTTATAGTGTAGTTTTTAGCAGAGATGAGTGACTAACCCAGTGATTTGATCCAAAAACTGGGTTGTGATCCTGAATATAACATGTGTTTGTATTTGTATTATATTTGCATTACATATTTTGCCAAATTGTTACTATGGAGCAGCATGGTTTCTGCAACAAAATGCATCAAATTCAGTGATAATCTTTGGGTTACACATTTTAACAAAATTAAATGAATGTTAAAAATTTTGTATTCCTGACCTATATTATTTTACAATCAGTCTTAACTAGGGCTGGGTATCAGTAAGAAGTTGCCGATACGATATATACCTCGATACATAGGCCACAATATGATACATATCTCTCACTTTTAATTCAATATGATATATTTCAAATCGATTCAATATGGGTAAAAAATAAAGAAATAAAGGCTAAATCATGAAAGTGATACTAAAAGTCTTTGTTAAACCACTTGTTATGCAACGTTCATATGAAACACATCCATTTTACTCAGTGAAAATGTCAAATGTGATGCATGAACAAGTTTCCTTTCTCTGAACAAGCAACAAAACTGTAGCGCTGTAACAAAATTATTTAGTAAAATATACCAAAAAATACTTTTGGCCATATATTGATACAGCAGCCTACGATATTGATTCTGTATCATCACATTAAACAATACGATATAACAATATTTTGATATTTTTGCACACCCCTAGACTTAACCTATCCATGTATGCAAAAAATTAAGTCAACAGGGAGCCAGAAAGGGATACTCTACTCTGCTAAACTACTACTACTACTTGCAGCTTGCAATTGATTAGCAGCATAATAGTATACAGAAAGGCTTTGTAATAAAGTACAAAACTACTTTTTAAAACCTTTTTTTCCCAATGAGATGACAGAGATACCTTTGCTGGAGGATGAGTCTTCATATTGTTAGTCTCCACAAAGATCGACATGTTTTTAATACCATACTGGGGAACATTATATCCAGAGCAATAACACCTCTATGGAGACAAGCAAGTGACAGACTCTCTATAAAAGTTACATAGTGCACCTTTAACGTCAATATTGGGAGATGAGAATACCTTTAGGTTTTCTACTCTATGCTAAAGTGAGAGTTTCCAGCCATTCCCTGAAGAAGTGCAAATATAAAATACAGCAGGGGGTTTTATTGCCAAGAATAGCATAACATTACTGACATTTCTGCTCAATAGTTGAAAGCATAGCTGACATCTGAATATATACTCTGGATCCTGTGACTTCTTCTAGCTCCTTAAAGCGAAAAAACACAATAATAGGAGTTACTAAATAAAGAAGGGAAGAAATTGGGGCATAACTTCTCTCTAGAGAGCATTACCTGAGGGAGACAGCGGTGTCCTTTTGCTCTATACAACAACACTGCAGAATATGTCAGCACTGCAGCACAAACCCCGCTATCTTTAAGCTCACAAAAACGTCTAAAAAACAAATTATTTTCACTTTCTAAAAACTCTAATTAAATAAAAGCCCAACAAGGGAAATTAGTAATGCTCTTTGTCCATGAAAAATTGGAAGGTTATCGACATATTATTTCAAATGACCTCAAAACCTTCACAAAACAGCGGTCAAAATGAAAGAAAAGGGTCATTTGTTTTGCATCATTACAAAAGAAAGACTACTCCGCTCTTCTTGACCTCGCAATGGTGAAATATCATTAAGTGTAATTATGGGTTCTAAAAGGGACCCGCTGGAGAGAAAAGCCCTTTATCTTGTCCTATCTTGTTTAAAATCACCCAGAGTGCTAAATGAAAGCCAAACGTGACATTTTCATCTTTCCTTCAAATTGAATTACGTGATAAAGCATGGAGAAAGAAAGATGGAGAGAGTCTTTTTTGTATTATATTCCTTATGTGCAATTTACTCCCTCTCCCACCTCAAAATCAGGTTTCCAAATCTAGTAGCTAATGCATTTGCCAGTCCATCTGTGAACAGGGCCTCTCGCTGTGATGTACAAGGTGATTTAAAACACTTTCACATATGCGCCGCTCTTCTTCTTACAGACACACAACATTGCTTTCAAAGATATTATTTCGGACGGAGGATTTTCTGAAAGCTCCAGGATACTTTTACCTACTGGGAAATGGCACGCACATTTAGAGACCAAAAACAAGGGGATGCGTTTTTTGTTTCCATCTCTCTCTCCACAGACAAAAGCAGCAAGATTTTTTGGCAAAGATGTGAAAACAAACATGGGGTGGTTGGATTATTCTCTTGAAGCTAGTATTACTCTGCAAAAGAATAGATCTGTCTTTGTTAGCAAATGTAGGGGAAACAGCATTGTGCAATAGGCAGGTTTTCCAGAATTCACAAATAGACGTAATTGATATATAGGTGTTTGCGTATAGGACTGGTCCTGTCTTTTCCTATCTCTTTCTTTTCTTTTGGTTTATTTGCAGTTTTTCAGAAATATTCCTGTAAAACTCCTTGAACCTAACAGCGGCTGTGGTTACATGAACACTCAAATCATGATTAAACTGACATGTAAACAGCAAAATCTTCTAATTTCTTCCTAATTATGGTGCCTTTGAATCCCCATATCAGATTTAGTGGTTTGCAAGTCATTGAAATAATCTTTAAAGTCCAGAAACCAGATTATAATCAGACTTTGGTGTCAATGTAAACTGAGCTAATGTTCTGGACCACTTACAAGTCATATTGGCGTATTACTACATTTACATTGATAGTCAAAGCTTGTGATAAATTAACTAAAACCTTTGCACATAGCTTTGCATCATGGTATGAAAACCATATGTGAAGAAAGTATTGATGGATAAAACAAAACCGGACATTGGGATTGAGTTGGAGGAACAAAAGGAGTAGCACTTGGCAAATTTCTGAGCTCCACTTAGACTTGGCTCACCTCCTCACACTCATTTTAAAGGTTTCTTATTACTCTGTTCTCCTTTCTCCCTCTTCCACGGTGCTGTCCTGTCTTATGTCCACACTGAGCCGCAGACAGTGTCTCATGGTAAAGGCATGGAGCTCTGCAGCAGGTGGACAGACCCATATCAATATCAATAGAGGATTTATGACGCAAGGTTAAATGTGAGGTACTTGTTTCACAAAAGTGGGGCAGTTATGTCACTTAATATAACCAAATTTGGCATTTGAAATATTACATAGAACAAATGTTACATTAAATAATGATTCTATTGATTAGACAATATCACACTAATATTTCAATGCTTTCTTTGGTTGTTGTTTTATAAGTAGGGCTGGGTATCATTAAGAAGCTGCAGATGCGATACATATCTCGATACTTAGGCCACGATACGATACATACTTCGATAAAGTGGACTTTCGATATGATACAATATATGTGAAATCGATTCAATACGGTTCAATAAAAAATAATGGCTAAATCATGGCAGTGACACCAAAAGTCTTTGTTAAATTGTTTCTTGCTCAAAAAATTTACACAAAAAATGTCCATTTTAATCATCAAAATAATGAAAATGTCAAATGTGTCACATAAACAAGTTTCCTTCCACTAAACAAGCAACAAAACTGTAGCGCTGTAACAAAATAATTAGTAAAATATACCTAAAAATACTCTATATAATCGACACAGCAGCCCATGATATCGATACTGTATATTTTTGCACACCCCTGTCAGGAGTGGACAAGAATGTAGCAGGTAATCCTATAAGAAAAATTACTACTACTATATTAAAATATTTTTGGGCTATAAACCTGAGAAAAGTATAGATTAGATTTCGTGTACTGATGGATATGAGGCCTTAAGACTTCAAAACAATAGACAGGTGCTGTTGTTTCTTTAAATGTTTTTGGGTTGTTTTTTTGTTTTTTTATCCCGCAACTGTTAAAGCTTTTACCCTTAAGTATTGATTACTGATTCATACATAAGTTTAGAGTAAAATAAAATCCATTTCAAGACTGTCAACACTGCTTATGCCAATGTAAACCACTTTATTAAACAGTCAGTCTTTTGTTACTTGGAAAGATGGACCGGTCATACCAATATTAATTACACTAATAAGCAGCTGATTCTGATAGCCAAACATGCGCTGTCTAATCCCCCTGGCTCCTTTCAATCTTGCATTTTCATTAGACGTGAAATTAAAGGCCATAAGATCAGCCAACGAATCCATCTCTGACACGGGTGCACAGAGCCCACATCACTAATGGCTATTTTTGTCAAATGGGATAATGTAATGTGACAGCGCCTGCCTGCCAACCTGAATATGAAATCCCCAGTCTTTCAGGTTTAAGACTATGGACCTAGAAGACAGAGCCATAATAGTCAGTGCAGTGAGCGTTGAATTCATATCGATTCAATTTAAGTCTATTTATCAAGGCCTGTTTCTGTTTGTGTTGAGATAGAAATAATCAAATAGAGAAAGCATCACTGGTGTTTCAAGTTAATGCTACTATATTTTGTATAGTTTGTTTTGATGGATAATAAAAGTGTCAAGATGGTGTCCTTAATAGAAGATCAATACTGAATGTTATTACAAGCAATCGTTCATGTGCCTCGTGTAGCAACCAGTGACAGCTAAAAGTACTTTGGAAAAGCGGAGGAAAGTGGAAGAGACTCAAAATGCATTTCATATGTTTTGCAAAGACTTAAATGTTACATATTTGGATGCAATGTAAGACAGAAAAATTAGGGTTACACTGGTATTTCTTCAATTTTTTTGAGATTAGAATGATTATTTAACTACCATCTTTCGATTTGGACAACTTAAAGATAGTGTCTTGATAATAGTTATTTTCAAACTTCATACACCAAGAACTATTATTATTTGCAAGTGGATCAAATGAGTCAAAGTCTGAACTCAAATTAAACAAGGACTAAGGAATATAAACTAGATCTAGGACAGAAACTATATTTTAGGAGGGATTTTTGGAACTATAGTATGCTTACACCTGGTATAAACCAGGGCTAAAACAGGTGTAAACCAGGACTGAACCAGTTCTCAAGAAGAACTAAACCAGGTCTCAAAGCAGGACTTTACAGGGAGTAAACCGGGATTAAACAGAGTCAAAATCAGGACTAAGACAAATATAAACCAGGATTAAATCAAGTCTGAACTAGGTCTTAACCAAGTCTAAAACAGATCTAAACCAGGACTAAATCAGGTCTAAACCAGCACTAAACCAGGACTAAATCAGGTCTAAACCAGGACGAAACCAGATCTAAACCAGGACTAAATCAGGTCTGAACCAGGACTAAATCAGGTCTAAACCAGGACTAAATCAGGACAAAACCAGGTCTAAACCAGGTCTAAACCAGGTCTAAACCAGGTCTAAACCAGGACTAAACCAGGACTAAACCAGGTCTAAACCAGGTCCAAACCAGGTCCAAACCAGGTCCGAACCAGGTCCGAACCAGGTCCAAACCGGGACAAAACCAGGTCTAAACCAGGTCTAAACCAGATCTAAACCAGGTCCAAACCAGGTCTAAACCAGGTCTAAACCAGGACTAAATTAGGCCTAAAACAAGATCATGTAAAAAAGGACTAAAGCAATAACACTGCTAAAGATTTGATTATTGGCTCCACACAGCTTTAAAACCAGCGTATGATAAAATGGCCCATTAAAAAACACTTAAATGAACATACCCCCTGCTCGTCCAGTTTGAGTAGCTGCTCTGGGACTTTGGGCGAGTTGTTGGCCAGCCGCAGACAGGAGATGTTCAGTTCTGGGATCACGTACTCCAGCACTTCTTTGAGTGGCAGCCCACGGGCCGTCCCATGTCTGGCTGTGGACGGGATAGCATCCTCCAGAATAGCCCCGCGCAGTGTGGTCAGCTAATGAGAAAAACAGATGATAATTATTCATTCAGTCAGACACTACAAAAGAATAGATTTTTTTTTTACTTGGACTGAAAATCTCTTCTGTAATTTTAGCAGGATAATCTTTGTTTTTTGTAATATTTTTGCTGGTGTGCTTCATTTGAACAAAAAAAAAAGAAAAAAAGAAAATCAACTTGCATATATTTTTGTTTATCAACAGTTTTTTGTTATGTTTTATTTGTAATTTGGCAAAAATCAAGATGTAGAATTTCAACTACTAATGCTATTTTGTTTAAAGAGACTAAACAATATTGGGATCTTCACTTGGTTGGTTCTCGTCATCTTTTGTGTCTGGCCTTTACCACTCTTTTTCAACTCTATTGTCTTTGGGGGTCCCTCAGGGTTCAGTTTTGGGCCCAATTTTGTTCTTGCACTAGGTCAGATTCATTCAAAAGATTCAAAGTTTTAAAGGTGCCTTGCCTGTGCGTGTATGTTGATGATCTTCTGTCTATTATATTATTAATTTAGCCCTGACAAAACCAGTCTCAACACACTAGGATGTTTAGATGCCACTAGGACTTGGTTGGTTTGTAATTACATAAATAAACTTCCTTAACCTCCCTACTTCTCAAAATTGAGATAGAGATTCTGTATTCAAGTTATAAGTAGATGTTTTTCCTGTTTTCAGAAATCTGTTTTGGTTGCAACGAATTCCGAATGACTGTTGCTCCAAATTCCTCTATGGATGGTTTGTGTCACACCACATTATTCCCAACAACTCAAGCATGTCTCAGTGGACGGGCCGTAACAACTCAGACTGTAAATATTTAAAAGAGCTAGCAGCCCGAGTGAAACTGTAATGTTGAGTAGTGTTTGAGCGTTAGCCGCTAATGTGCCAGTAAATGATGACCCAGAATGCTGTTTGTGACATGTTTTTACCAATAAATCTCGATTTTGATCCACTTATAGCCTGGGCATAAACGTCAGCAGTCCATCCAATATTCAGAAAGCAGATTACTTGACTGGTTAAAGACATCAAATAGATTTTTAAAATGTCGCTTTGATGCCAGCTTGTATCCATGTGGATGCTTTTCTTTACCTGGAATGTTCCACAGTATGACATTAAATTATATTGAATTTATTTAATTACAGGTGTTTAATTACTCTAACAAACCCAGTATTAGTGTAGTTAATGAGGTTGCCACTCCACAGATCTGACCTTTGAGCTGCTTGTCATCATGGAGATAAGAAAATCAGTTTAATCAATGTCATATTGTAGAAAATTCCAGGAAAAGCAGTAACATTTCCATAGCGTCACAAAAGTTACATGATGCATCTTTAAATATTAGTCTGCATGAAATTGTGAGGCGTCTGTAAAAATAGTGATTCATACATTATCATTATTGTTGCTAAAAATCACTGATGTTTTGAGCGCACTGTTCAGGCCCAGATAGTTCCGCATGAAAAAGTTGTACATGCAAATAGACACTGGGCGTTTGGGAGTTGCCACTTTCTCTGAGCTATGACCCAGATCCTTTGTCTCATTGAGGGAGTGGTGCTGTAAACCAGGTCTGGCACTGGCTATCACTGACATTTCTCCGCCTGCCACAGCTGGTCTACCTGAATTATTCAAAGCAAGAGACCACCCAGTGACCATAGTGACAAGGAGGACGGGGACAACACGGTCTATTTTAGGTCACGAGTTGATAAGTGACAGTGTGTTCATTAACTTTAGACTTTCAAGGGATAGTTTAAGTGGACAAGCATTTCTAGTTTTTTTTTTTACTTTTTTTTGAATTGTTTTTACTGTTGTTGGCATCGCTTTAAAGGTTCTTAATCTCAGTTGGATTTTGGTGGTTAAATAAAAGGTCTAAATAAAACTTTGGGTAAAAACCAACTCAATTTGAATGTAAAGAAGAATTCACGATACACTATTGATGTAACTAGCCGGATTCATCAGCTGGTTTCACTTCGTGGAAAGCGTCTGACCTTGCAGCATTAGAAATTGTTTGCTCAATGGTAGGCAGGTACTTTTTTAAATTAACCGATCGCTGCTATTTGGTCGTGATGTATGTAATGCGCCGCTAACGGGGCTAACTGGTATATTAAGCTTTTCCCAAATCCCGTAGGAAGAAGAACAGTAATGTCTTTCCCCTTGATAAAATTCACCAAACATTCTCTTTATTCCAGCTTTAAATCCTCGATCTCGGGAATCGTTGCCAACACAGAATGTATGGCTCTTTGCTGATTGGCTGGTGTCCGGACTCGCACTTCCGGGGTTCTTGCAAACCGTGTAGTGTATTCCGATTCCTGACCTAGTTGCTGGAGAGAAATGAAATTGAGCGGAGGCACTAGGTGGCACCAGCTGGGTATGATGTAACAATCAGACTGATAAAATATGTGTACACCTAAATAATTTAAAAAATGTGCCCAAATGTTACTATGAAATGGCAAATTAAAGTTTTTAAATCATCTCATTTCTATTTCTATGTTATGGAACACATATCACCTGTACATAGTACTGTTGTTGTAAAAATACTTTCAGCCTATCCACTTCATCTTAAAACAATGATACTGTGAGTGTTTTGACTTGGGTATAAACCTTAGCTTGTACGGATGGACGGTCCTGTCGGATTCACTGGTAGCATTAGAGGCTGTGAGCAGACAGAGTAGAGTCTGCTGCCGTGACTCCGTTGGGACTACGCTAGAGCTGCATGACTGAGCCTAGTGTTGAGTAACATCAACACTACTTTCTGGACTCAAATGAACAGAAACATCTGGGAAAGTAATGCGATAGTTGGCAGTTTAGATGACGCAAGCTCTGTAAAATGATTTGATAAATAGTAAAATACCTTCAAATCATGCTGATAGAGTAAAGGCTCCAATTATTTAGATAATAGAGTCCTTTCTCCTTTATAGAAAACCTTTGGCGTACTTGTACTTTAGATCTGTTTAGTTCAGATCTGAAATACATGTGATTATTGTATTTATGAGTTTCAGTCTTCCCTCAAATCTCCTGGAGTGGTTTACAATGTGCACTCTCAACAGAATCATTTTTTTTAAACATTGCAAATATAATGACATTTTTCCCCTAAATCATGCAGCCCTTATTGATAGTGTGTTCTAATATGTAAATATACGACTTTTCTTTCTACGTCCACTTGGTATTCAGAGCATATTAAATCAATGAACATTCACATCTTGCCCAAAGGCACAAACACAATATTCAGAAAAGGAATTCATACTACCTTCCTTGCTGTTAGTTGGCAAAGGCCTCCGCAAGCTTAACTGTTGCCCACTATATTACCATTGCACAATGTATATGTAAAGTAATGCATGTTTTATGTTTGAATTTACCTGGCTGGTCCTAAAGGTGACTCTGTAGTTGTACTGTGCACCGTCCTTCTCCTTTCCTTCATCCAGCTTTTCTCTGCGGACACTGACGGCCACTGGTCCCAAGTTTTCATCCACCCCAAAGTAGTTCTGATGCTCTAAAAGTACAAAAAAGGAAAGTCAATCGCAACATCAAGCTTAACTTAATTTAACGCATATCAAAGTCTATGGATTTTTCATGAGTAAGACAATGTTTCAAAATTAAAATAGTGCTTTAGGAAAGATAAGAGCAGGCATGACAGTGATTACAATGCAAAGCAGATGGGAAGAACTGGAGATATAAAACAATGCAATCAGATTAAGAATAGTGAGTCGGGGCATGGATTGAGATTTTGGGTAAATTAGTAAAAGACAACTGTCCTTGCAGGAATTTTTGACCTATGCACGCAATGCTGTCTAATGCAAAACACATAAGAACACTGGTACAATGATTAAAATGGTACTAGACAACTGATTAAACTATGCAAATAATACCTGTACACCTACATTTTGAGATAAATAATACCATATAAATTAATTATGGCAACTTTTACTTTCTATTCCATGCCTTTATTACTGCTGCTAAATCTTGCCAGATGTTGTTTTGGTAATGGTTATTTCCACTCCATGTTTTTACTGGTCACCTGACACAGCTGAATGGAAGAAATATGAGGAGAGACAGACAAATTTTCCTGGCTACATTTAAGTGCGGATGTAGTTGTTAACACCATACCGCTGGGATATCCCCTGCATATGGGAAGAGCTATTCCGTGTCATTTAGTGAAACATAAGCAGGACAGCTATTTTGAAATTCACGATTGATATGTTAGGATGAGCTGCTGAGTGATAGAAATGAACTTGTTATAATGAATACCCTTGATTCTAATAGAGATGTGGTAATGCTGGAGGCCTGTTGGTTAAGCGAGCATAAATCACTTAAAATTAACACCAAATCTTAAGTAAGCTATGAAGCTCTACAATAATAAACATGTTTGATATTGGTCTAAGAATAGCTCAAAAGACTTGTATGTTTAGGCCATGGACAGAGGAAGGCTGTGCACACTCCGAGTGGTGCCTTAAGCAAACAGTCCCTAATCCGCAGAAAAGCCGAGGAGAAAGACTGGGATTCATAAGACAACAAAGAAGCCCTCAAAGGAAATGGATGCACAGCTCTCATACAGCCCTGTAAGATTCAAGATACTGGAGCATGTGGAGCATGCAATGTAAATGTGCTGGTCGCTGTCACTTTGACTGTTAGGGCCGTGCACACACATGTATGAATAATAAAGAGCAGGGACTAAGCTCACAGGGCTGTGTGGTTAACGGTTGCGTGAAGTCATGGCTGGATGTGGCTGTTGACCAGGGCACAAAGCTCTTTGGTGCATGAGGTCAAATGGTGATAGGATGCCTGTCCAAGCATATGACACCCACACACCCATATGTGTGACACCTACAGCACCCAGAGCACAGAGGAAGTGTCTCATCAGCCTGCTCCTGTTACAGATGCCTGTCATAGCTCACACTGCTGTCAAAAAGTTCTGACACAAATGACTTTGAATGTCATTTTAGATAAAGATCATGCTTGTCACTTCATTCTGTCAAAATCATGCTAAATGGGTAAAATCTTTGAGTTAAGTTGTGTCACTTTTAAGGGCACATGAGGCAGAGCATAGCTCTTCTCTTATCGAACAGTAAATGACCGTGACCTGTCTGTAACAAGGCTTTGGCCTGGGGGTGTGAAGGAAACACTGTGTCCATTAGGACGTCCTGCGGAGGACACTCCTGTTGCTGTGGGAACTAGGGCTTTGGGCAATCGATGAGATCAATGTTCAGCTCAGGTTGATAAAAGCTCACCCTGAAGTGGTGACACGCGGCCACTCTGTGTGTGTGTGTGAAGACAGAGGTGATGACGGGACTGTCTCTCCAATAAAACACCTCATGGAAAAAGTGCCGCAACCACAAACTGCAGTAAAAGCAGCACTGTAAAAGCAATAAGCTCAGAACTATACGAGCAAACTGGAGCGTTTCAATTATACATCACTGTGGGCTGCGCAGTGAGGGTTAAACACACAGACCACTGCACTGGGAACACTGGGCTTCATGGTAAATGATTTTCAGAGGCACTTCTATGGCCCACTCAAACTTACTGTAAATAGACACTGTGAATTCACGGTCTCATTAACCTTGACTGCAGCTTAACTCAGTGCAGTCAGGCATATTTCAATACAGTGAATCTTTGTGGAGCAGTGCAGGCATCTCCAGTGTGAAAGGTGAAGCAGCTGTTATCTTGAGGGGCTTAAGTCTGTAACATTATCTGCTGAGAGCGCACTGGCCCCGAGCAGAGTCTATAGCAGAGTATAATGTGGCACTGGTCCCACTCGGTCATGTAGGTGTTTTAATGAGAAAGCTTGAACCTGGCGTGGTTGTGCTGACCCTGTGCTTTGTTCAGAGGGTGCTCTGGTTCGGAGGCCCCATAGGGAACAGCTGCGGGACACGGAACACTCACCTCTCTCCTCTCACATGACTAATCACAGCCCCTCTGTAGAGTTCAGACCAATATCACAGAGAGGACATGACCGCTCCTCTCTTCAGGAAGTGGAAACACACAGGCCAGCTATTGTTCTGGATACTATTTTATCTGCTCTTACAAAAATAACTGCGCTGTTAAGATATCTGACCCTTGGAGCTCTGGATGTCCCTGTAGGAAACATACTCACTCAAAACAATGTTGCCCTACGAGTTATCTAAACCTGTACATCCATGCTTCATGCCACTTCACTATATTTTGTTTTTGAATTGGATAATATATCGCAATTGAAAGTGCATTTTGAGTTGGTGCAAGTATCAAATTGCAAAGACAGCAATCATTATTACATTAGTTTTATTATAGAAAAAAAAAGTGCATCTCTACTAAAAATGTTATAAAATGCATGGGATTCTTGTATTAATTGATCATATTTCTTATGTCTTCTAGCTTACCTTTTCCATAGAAGAACTTGTGGTAGTAGTAGGCCCCCAGGTCAATGTGCTCAATGATGTATCTCTTGACTTTCTCTCGGTGGATGGGCTGATTCTCGCGGGGCACTTCCAGGACGGACACCCCCGCGTTGGTGCAGTGTGAGCTCAGAGAGGACTCAAACGAACAGCTCTCCGAAACACCGGGGTAGCTGGCACTGTTGACTCTGGACAGTGAGATCTTCCTTTCCCCTTCTCCTCCGATCTCATTACGAAAGTGGGGGCAACTCAGCACCAAATTGTTACTTTTGCCATCTCCCTCATCAGCATCCAGGTTTTCCTTGGGGTTGAGGTCCTCGCGACTGCCCAGAGGAGACTCAAATAGAGGTGGGTTTGAGCTGCTACAACCAGGCATGGCACTTTCTGCCCCTAAACCAGGTATTTGCCCCAGTCCAACAACAGGGCCAGTCCCTCCTATGGCTCCTGCAGAGGCCGCTGATGCTCCAGTCGTTATATTTTTCCTCTGACTTAAATTCGCTCGACTTGCCACCGCCTCACTAATGTTAAACAAAACGCTTTGAACATCATAGTGAGCAAAGCATTTCTGAAAACTGAGCGGTCTTCTGTCATCTTCAAGGGATAGCCTCAAAGCATCACTCTCACTTTTTATGGTCCGTAATTTCCTGAAAATCGATGGTTCGGATGACTCGGACTTCAATCTCCTCATGAAAGATTTCTCCCTTTCTCTGCTGTAAAGAAGGGAACTGTCTACGTAATCATATCCAGGAATGTGCACTATCTCTCCCCTTGCGATTTGGGCGGCGGTCTGCAAACTTGGAGACAAAGACGCATCGCAACGCAACAGTTCGGGGAAACCCATTGGCGGGATGCTACGGTGGTCCATGGTTTCCACTCTGTACCCCCTGAGCATGGTGAAAAATCCCTCTCCGGCAAGGCCTTGTCTGTCAATAGACGAGGTGCTGCCATATTCACGATGTAGAGATGCCCCTGTGTTAGGATTTACTGCACTCTGATCGACGATATCCTCAGAATCAATATCGCTAATAGTAACGTCACTGTTGCTCCGCTGACGAATGGGGTGGAGTCCTTTAAGAGGGGAGTGGCATAGAAGTTCATCTAAAGTATACTTATCAGAATAGTCTACATCTACGCAAACCTGCTCTCCTTGTTCCACAATTTCAACTGTATGTTCTTGTCCATTTTGAAACACTGGTATGACGCTTTGATAGTTGGGAGAAGGTCTACCGTCCCAATCTTTCCTGGGGGGCCATTCGGATACCCTGGCCCTCACGCCCATTTTAGGCATAGCTGGAGTCCCGTTGGTTTTGTCAGGCTTCCCTTGCATGTTCGCAGTTGGTGGTCCCATGCTGCCATTGAGTGATTTCAGTTTTCGGCTGAACAACTCTTCTGACTGCATGACTTTGGAGAATTCTTCTGGGCCTCCCACAGTTCCCACAAGGATAGATTTAGTGTCCGGGCACGAAACACTCATATCCCGCAGGCAGAGACGAGGGGCGTGCTTGGAGGTGCTTCTTCATTACCTCGTGTGGTCCTGTTCACTGCAGAGGAGAGGAGGGAGGGTTGTGGTAGGAGCCAGTGTCCCTGATCAGTGGAACGGCCATATTTGAATCTAACACAGGGAGATTGGCCCCATATTCATAACATACTGCATCAGGATGTCCAGAAGGAGAGTGTACCAGTTGTCAGTGCAGTAGTCCGACCTAGAGGAAGAAGAAGGAAAAAACTAAATTAGTACATCATGTAAGAACAATTTTCAATATAGAATCAACTGAATCACATTTTTATCTTGGTGATAAACCTCCATTTTTGATCACTTGTATTGGCTGTAGACCTTAATCAAAACTCTTACTATATATTGATGATTAGACATAACTGGTTAATTGCACAGATCTAGTTGTAATTTAGTAATATAGTTTGATTCAAAATCTCAAAAACATGATGTAGTTTCGTGTGGCCCAGTGGTATGCAGAGGCAGGGCTACTTGCATGCCTCAGCACTGTCAGTTTAGCTCTAGTTCTGACTGCTTGCCAAATATCTGACCACTGTTCACTGTTCACCGTCCCATGTTGGCTGTACTCCCTCACATCAAAATCTACCACTGTTAAAAATACATCAACAAGAAATCAATTGTTCTTTTGTGACACAGTTAGGTTTAAATTTGACCTCATTAGCCCTGGAGTTAACTTTGACATTGAAGTAACTAATGAACTTAGTGAAACATTCTTGCCCTCATCAAATAAAACAAAATAAATAAATAAGTAGTAGTAGTAGTAGTAGCAACAGCGGTGCACTAGTAGTACTAGGCCTGTCACGATAATTACTATCGACAATATATGAAAGCTGGAACAATATATTTTGGAGCTCAATATTTATCGTGTGCATATTTTTGTTGCAATAGTGGGGAGTAATAAGGTAAGATTTGAGCTGTAGAAGGATGAAAATGTAACTTCCATGACTAATTTTGCTTTTTTTTATTTGTTGTAGCTCATGCTTTTTAATAATAATGTATTGAAAAAATGGTTCCCTAAGATTATCCTGCTCCATTTTTTATTGTGTTTTTTTTATATTGTGCATTAAGTAGTTTCAGTATTATCGTTTATATTGATATTTGATATTCCTCTGTAGCACTTGTAGTACTTCAAGATTTGTTAACGTGACAGGCGCAGTAGTGTCATTGATAATACTAGTAGTACTTGTAGTGGCACTGGTCAGATGAGAAAAACATCATCTTAAATAAAGATTAGAATCTCTCAAGATGACCTGAAAACATGGCACATTGAGTTCAGCTATAAAAATCATCATAGTTTTGACCTAAATTGTTAGCATGTTCCAAAAAAGACGTATGTAGGGCTGCGCAGAATTGACACAAAGCATCTACTCAATTATGGCAATTAGATTAAGCGTGACTTCTTTTTTTTTTTCGCTATTTTGAGTTTATAAAAAGATAGATGCTTATCTTCATCTGTGCTTTGAACCGGGTCTTAACAGATGGTAATGAAGGAAATTACAGCACTAAGGGCAGATGTGCAGCTAAATACTCACATGCAATGACATCTCATACAAGCACACTGCCGTCACATTAAGACTTCAGATCACACAATGGGGAATAGCTTCAATGTCTGACACAAATCGCTTTCACTGTCTATGTGGGCTGTAACTGCAAATTAAAGTCATTTGTAAGACAATTACTTTTATATTGTAGTGTGGATAGACAGTGTTATAATGGAGAATGGCTACTACTCAGTCTTGGTTTAGACCTGGTTTAGTTTTGGTTTAGTCCTTGTTAATTCTTGTAGTTTTTGTCTGTTCCTGACATGATTATATTATCCAGACTTATTTAGACTTGGGCTTAGACAAACTATTGATCCACAAAGGAAATTACTTGGACACAGTAGCTCACACATCACAATATAATACGATAACAAAGAGCAACAATATAAATCGTAATAATAAATTCAAAATAAGTAGCAAGAAACTGGTGTCAAATAAGGCATAATTATATAAATGTATATAGAAGTAAAAATTAAATATAGAAATATAATAATATAGTAATAAAATGCAGTATATATACACGGAGAAACAGTGTGAAGATGAAATAAAGATTGACGGGACATAGGGCTGTCTGTTGCATAAGGATGAGTTGTTGTACAGTTGTATGGAGTATGGTATAGATGTAGTCCTGTATCTCTCAATGTTTGAGCTGAGCTGTCTGGAGCCTGTTTGAGAATGAGCTCCTCAGTCCTCTGTTATTTGAGTGTCAGTTCTGGTTAGCTGGTACCACATTGGAAAAAAGAAAGTGCAATGTAATGTTTAAAATTGATTTGTTTAGACCTGGTTTATCCTGGCTCCTGATAAGGTCTTGTATTCATCTTAGTCCTGGTTTAGATATGCTAATTCACTTAACTCAAATTCACAATAGTGTTTCTTATAACAATATTAACCCATTCTATTCACTTTACTTCCTACCTAACATTGCACAGGCCTAGTTTAAAAACAATGACAAGAGAAAGTGCTTAAATCAGCAGTTTTATTCAAGTGCTGGAGCGTTGGAGGACACAGTTTGTCCTTGAAAGCAGCTGAGTATCCTCTTGGGCTGCACACAAACACAAATGCATGGCTTCCTATTTTAAACTCAAGTACATCAGCCTTGTCGAGATACTGTGAAGAATAGGACACAGCTTCCTGCTGCAAAACTCAATGATTCACCAAAGTTAATCTAATAGAGATGGACAGACAGTGATGGTTCTGTGCTGAGAAAGTATAATACTATGATTAATGTAATATTACACAGAAGAGGTCAAATATATACTCATTAAGAATTAAAACTTAATATATGTAGTACTAAAGGAACCAAAGCATACAATATTGTTGCTTAATGTATTGTTTTACCTTCCCACTATTGCTACTATTATTACTATTTTTCAGAGGTGGGACCAAATCATCGTTTTGCAAGTCTTTGACCTCAAGTCCGAGTCAAGTCCCAAGTCAAACACAGACAAGTCCAAGTCGAGTCTCGAGTCACTGGCCCATAAGTCCAAGTCAAGTACAAGTCGTCTGCTTTGAGTCATTTCAAGTCTTTAAACCGAAGTACCAAATATAGCTTAGATTTTTGCAATTTATATGATTTTTAAGCTAAATTGTACTTATAAAGTCATAGTATATTTATATGAGTATTTATAGAGTATATTCGAGTTGTAGAAATGCATTTTTTTTCCCTTTTTAAATGTCTTGACAAGATCTTAGAGTCATTACAGTCAGAATAGAACAAATTCAGATTTAAAAGTGCTTCTCAAGTCTTCTCAAGTCATAGGCCTCAAGTCTGAGTCAAGTCCCCAGTCAATGACCTTCACCCATGTTGAGTCCCAAGTCTTAGTCCATTTTATCAAGTCAATTCTCAAGTCCTAAACATAGTGACTCAAGTCTGACTCGAGTCCAAGTCACGGACTTCCAAGTCCCCACCTCTGCTATTTTTACACTTCTATTACTACTGCTCAAACAGCTACAACTACAACCAACTACAGATACCACCAAAACTATTCCAAGCTTGAAAAGTTTTTGTCATATTTTTTAATAAATTCTTTGCAAAATGGTGACAAAAAGGAATGTAAAATGTAGGTTTCTGTTTTGTGTAGTCACTTCAGATATTTTCATCCAAATACGCAACCTGCAAATGTACTGTATGTTAGTTATTGTGAGCAATTTTATTACAGATGCTCTTCCAGAACTAATTCAGTCAATTTAGCAGAGATTGTGTCAACATGATTAAGAGTATATACTACTTTGTATTACTAAAAATTCCCCAAAAATAATCAAAAAGTACACAAATTCTAGGCTATTTGACTCAAAATATGCTTCCTCTCGCGACAGGCCAAAATGAAGTCCACAGAGAGTTCATGACGAGGGTGTTGCAGCACATTTATCCCTGCTACTGCGACTTGTGCATGGGAGATCTCACATCCTTCACAAATACACACCGGTAGTCTGTTATTCTGACCTAAATGCTTTTTCCTTGTTCCTCTGTGCTGGTGGTATGTGCTGCAATCAAGTGAAAACCCCATGAGTTATTGAGTAAACCTCACGCATTACCAAAAAGCCAGCAAAGTCACAAACGATAGCCACGCTTCACTTGCAAATCCAATGACGTGTCTGGTTAGATAAGAAGCAGTTACAAAATAGCACTCTCTAAGTTTGTCCCAATAGTCTGGAATATAATAGCATGTTTCCAGTAAGTCATTAAAGATCCTATATTACACAAAATTGACTCCTGTGACCTTTAAGCCATGTTCTAATACCATTACCTCATCAAAAACATACCTGGATTTGTGTTTTGTTTCATTCACACATATTTGAGTAAACCTTTATTATTATTCTGTCTGCATCTGTGAACAAAACAAAACACAATTCCAGGTATTTTTTGATGAAGAAACATAAAAAAAATACATCAGAAAATAGTGTAATATATGTTGGTAATAAAATGCTTAGTTGACCAAAATAATATACATTTTGTTCGATTTATCATTTTCTTTAGATAACAAGGATTCATATGGGAGAACAGACAAAAGGAGAAGTTAGAAGTTGAATCTATCTTTATATAAATACATTGCTTCCTTGTACATTCTTCTGTATTAATAGTTGTTTTTGTATGAACTCTCGTGCAGGTGTAGTCAGATATATAGAGATGAGTTAATAGTTTTGAGAGCTTTTGCCACCTTGTTTTTCAGTCGACTAATTGGTCGGCAAGACAGAATTGCTTTACTCGAGTACAGCCCAGGCAAATGTTTATGTTTCACGCCATTTGTGGAGTAACTTTGGAGGAAAATGTGGGGCACCTCAAGCTTAGCAGTGAGCGACTAGACTGAATACGCAAGAAGCATGTCAAGGAGCTTAAAATAGCACAGTTTTAGCCAAATATCGGTTAATGAAAGTAATGCATGCATGACCCAAATGTGTGTTAAAATATTAATTCTCTCTCCAGTCTGAGTAGCTGCCTTCCAAAGACACCGTCTCTACAATTACTGCCCCTTCTGGTTAGGAACAGTGTTTAACCAGAAGTGACTAGATACTTTTATGCAAGTATATTTGTGCATGTTTAGTTTTAATTGACTTCTGAGATATTACTTTTTAAAATCAGAAATAGTTATTTAAAAGATTCTATAGTAGTAGTAACAGCAGAAGTAGCAGCAGTAGTAGTAGTAGTAGT